AGTAATAACAGCTCCCAAGTATTGGGGACTTACTTGCAAGGGTTTTAATATAAATTTACATTGTAATAACCTCATAACACAGGTGCTATCATTATCCCCATTTTGCAGATAGGAAAAGTGATACACAAAGAAGTCCATCCTCTGGCTCCAGAAGAGTCACACAGACAGACATCTTCTGCAGTTTTGAGTTATTCCTCGTTCCCCAAATAAGTAGGGCTTTTCTATTTTTACAGAAACTTTTTAGAGCAGGCCAACCAATGGCCCCAAAAGCAATGAACAGCCGAAAGCGCACTCCAAGCCCGCGCCGGGCAGGATTAAAAGGCACGAGAGGACGCCGCTCCCGCGCTGCTGAGGGTATAAAGGTCTGGCCCCAGTCTCCTTCCCGGGGATCCCCCGCCACCCAACCCCTCGCCCACTGCCAAGAATCGACGACTCCCGGGTGGCGCGATTCCCGGCGACTGCCCATTCGGCGCCAGCTCACCTGCCGTCCAGCCGCCGAGCCCTGGCCGTGGACTCACAGCACCTCCCCCGAGCTACTAGGCGCCCGCAGCGCGCAGCGAACCCGTTGCCTCGGCAACCAGAGCTGCTGCACTCCTAAGGCTCACGCTACGGCGGCTCGGAGGGGACCAGGAGGGTTCCTTGGTCCTTCCGCCCCCGGGAGCGGGCTGTGAAAGGAAAGCGGATTGGAATCGCTCCCCAGAGCGGTGAGGGACCCGCCTGGGGTTTAGCATGCTGAACTTGGTCCGGAGGGAAGGGAGAGGAAGAGATTGATGGGGGGAAAGGGGACAGCAAGGCTGGGAAATGCTTGAGCCCCCGATCCTTCTGTAATAATGTGTCAGCAAGATAACCAGAGATGCACAGCCAAATTGTAAAGGACTGCTTTATTCTTGCCAGTGGGCTGTGGAGGGCATAGTCTCCCCTCAGATCAGCAGCCCCGATTCTTCTTGCTGGTCCGATTTTAAAGACATAAGCCCTATCCTACTTTTGCACTCCCCCCCCCCCCCACTTTGAGGACTGGTACAATAGTAGGTGTGACAGCAATTACAGAAGTCAAAATTAGCTATATTCACCAGGCTCACAAGTGCCTGCAAATGCCTCCCAACAGAGGCACCACTATAATCTTAGGCAAAATTCCTTTACTTCTAGGGGTAATTAACTTATCGGAAAAATAGCGAGGAAGGTCCATTGATGATAAAAATGGAGTTATTTAGATGCCTTAGCCAAGAGGCCTACATAAGAATGGAATCTAATCACCTTAGCCTCAGGGCCTAGGTCACTTCCTGTGCCTCAGTTTCTCTCTGTAACCTGTGATGGAGCCCATTCGAGAGGACCGGTCGCAGGCTGAGCTTGCTACACTGGGAATATTTAAAGATGTGAAGAATGATGTGGGAGGGGTGCAGATGCTTCTTTCTTTAATCTCCAGAGCAGTGGTGTGGCAAAAATAAATAAATGTGTTTCTTTGGGCTCAAGGTGAGAATTAGCTCACCACATTTAATTTCAATATAGGAAATGCTTTGTAACCAGCAATTGTACTTCTTGGAATAATCATGCAGATACTAGAACACGAGTCCAAAGGATATCATTGCTCCACTGTTTGTAAAAGCAAAAGGATTAAGACCAGTATAAATGTCCATCGGTAGGGGATTGAGTAAATAAATTATGGTGTATCCATAAAACGGACTATAGCAAGAATTAAGAGACCCAGGAAGATAAAGATATAGATACAATTTAGATGTAGACTTGTAAAAGAGAGGTGATAGATAATACATATAACTCGCATATGCATAATGAACCCTGGAAAGAATCTGGGAGATGGGGGTGGTAAAATAATGCATTTTCACTGTATGTTTTTTAATGTAGTATTTTCAAAAACCAAGTACACGTCTTATCTTTTCAAACAATATATAAGAGTGTAGGGGATCGGAATATGCCACCCCAAAATAAACAAAGAAAGACTCTCTGCCCTCACTCAATAAATATCCCTTTGTTTAGATCCCACCACCCCCTCCTCTCTACCTGGGAGGGCAGAAATTAATTGCTGGAGGCAAATGAGAGGAATCTACATAACAAATCTTGCTAAAACACTTTTTTTTTTTTTTTTTTTTTTAGAGTAAGAGAATGGAAAGGAGGGAAGGGGGAGGAAGAGAGAGAGAGAGAGATTTCATTGGTTGCCTCCCACACAACCCCAACTGGGGTGGGATCAAACTTGCATCCCAGGTATGTGCCCAGGAATTGAACCTGTGACCCTTCTGTCTACAGGACTGAGTTCTAACCTCTGAGCCAAACCAGCCAGGGCTTGCTAAATCAATCTTTATCTTCCATTAATTTCTGCCATGTACCTGCCTTCTCACAGCATGCCCCCTAAAAGTCTAAACCCCTTTCCATTGTTTTACCACTTCTCTACAAATTTAAACTTGATCAGTTGGTATAAAAGCCAGCAGGCCTAGCCAACTAATCATTGAACCTAAGACAGTAGACCAATTTTCCTCCCCTACAGGGGACAGAATACATACTTAATTTTGACAGTTAACACGTATACATGGGAGGGGCTATAATTCTATAAGAACGGGATGGTGCTGAGTAACCAGGAAGTGCAGGTTTATTGAGGGAAATGCCTGCAGGGCTGCCTCCAAATAGAGCGCAGCAGCCGGTTTGTACAGACTAAGGGTTCTTAAACTTAGGGATGGGGTGGGTGGTTGCCCAGCCAAAGAGTTGCAGTCCTTGATTGGTTGGGGCTGGGGTCTTTCCGAGAGTTGTTCTTCTCCTGAGTGGCTGTTTAGGTTTGGGTGGGGGGTTTCAGGATACAGTTCTGCCTGGCCGGAGCGATAAGCTTTGGTTTCCTGGAATAAGGGGTTTGGGGCGAGGTTAAACAATAAAAGGCTGGGGGTAGTAATATGGAAGTTAAAGTTAACAAATTCAACATCCTCCTCTTCTGACTAACATGAGTAGGTACTGCTTTTTAAATTTTTTTCTTCTTTTTCAGTGACAATTCTGGCCCTTCTTTATTTAATCTTCCTACCTCCCAGATAAAAATTAAGATACATAATCATCAAATTGTCCCTGCTTTTTTACTGTGTCCAATTCAAAACAATTCCCCACTTCCTTAAACCATCTTTAGATACCCAGCACAAACGCAGATCCTAATATAAACTCTTCCCAAGTCCCTCTTCCCAAGATTCCTCATAGTGCATCCTCCCTTAATGAACAAGTTAAAAAAGTCCTTTTGATTACAGGGTTTTAAGAGCTACCTGGAAGGTTGAGTCAGTGGTCCTGAAGCAACCTGATTTGGGCAGGTATTGGGTGGGAGGGGAGGAGAAAGGCTGAGGCAGGAATTAGGAAAGTTTGAGTATCTAAATCTGCCATCAACCCTTCCTGTGGCCTTAGGCAAACTTTGAGCCTTTTTCCATTTCTGTAAAAGAAGAAATCTGAGTATATTTCGAAGCCTTCTTCCAATCTAATTATTATAGAATTCCAAACTCTACAGGGTCTTATATTCTCAGGTAAACGATTGCCTACATTAGTCACTTGTACAAGGTTGTCATCATTGTTGTCACCACCTATTGTTAGCTTTTAACTTCCATATTACTGCCCTAAGCCTCTCATTCCAGGAAACTAAAACCCATCACTCTTATCGTTTAACCTTTCCCCTAAGCCTCTCATTCCAGGAAACTAAAACCCATCACTCTTATCATTTGACCTTTCCCCTAAGCCTCTCATTCTGGAGGGCCGGGACCCATCACTCCAGTGAGGCAGAACGGAATGATGGTCCCAGAACAGAATGATGGAGCCACCCTAACCCACCCAAGGCTGCAGATGGTGGCTGGACAAGAGGAACAAGTTTCAGGAGACCCCAGCCCACGACCAATCGGGACTCGGGAGACCCCAGACCCGACCAATCCAGGACGACCACGTCTCCTCGGCTAAAGGACTACCCCCCGCCCCAGCCCTAAATTTAAAAATCCCTAGTCTGTACAAGCCGCTTGCTACTCTCTCCTTAGAGGTCGTCCGGCAGGCTGATTCCCAATACACCTGCACTTCTGGAGACCCTGCACCGCTTTGTTCCACCTTTGTTCTATACTGTTATGTCAAGGTGTTTTTTTTTTTCTTTCAATCGACTCTCAATTTTTACTGATATCTACAAAAGAAAATTTACCTCACTGCGTAAATGAAAACCAGCATTGCTTGGTAGAAATGAAATAATTTTTGCAAACACTCACACACAAACCCTAAAACAAAACAGCGTTATTTAACTGTAGATGTGGTTTACCTTTGGAGAGATGTGGAATGTGAAGTCTTCATTCTGTTAAGAAGGGAGATAAGTAAATGTTAGAAAAATGTTAAATACATACTAGCCTCAAACAAACCTTCTCTTTGGTTTGAAATAGGACTTTTTCACTGGGCCTTTCAATGTTAGTTAATGTCATGTTTATTTCATCTACTCCAAATGATATACAGAGCCCACATTTTAGGAAACAATGCCCATTTCCCCCTGATTAACTCGACTTATCTTTCAGTTCTTAGATGAAATATAAATTCCTCAGAAAAGCCTTCCAGGTCTACGCTCCCCCCAATTAAATTGCTTTCCCCTTAGTGGGAATTAAACTTTAACTGAAATATTCCCTTATGATACTTCTTCATAGTACTCATCACAATATGTCATGGTGCATTTATTTCGCTCTCAGTCTCCTCTTAACTAGGCCATAAATTATTGTACACTTCTGTACCCCAGATCTTAACACATAATGGGATCCCAGTGAATGCAAATGAGGTGAAGAAATGAAGCCTGCACAGCTCTTGCATAGCCGGGCCGATGAGTCCCGCCTTCTCCCCCAGCTCCGGACTGGCTTAGCTCCGCCCCCTCCCTAACTTGGGATAGGTTTAGCCCCGCCTCCTCCCTCAGCGCGGCGCTGATTTAGCTTCGCCTTTTCCCTCTACCAATGACGGGTGCCTTCTGGGCAGAGGCCGAGGGCGGTGGGCGGGGCCACGCGATGACGCACGCCGCGCGTTTCCGGCTTGAAAAACCGTCGCGTTTTTGAGGAGACACCTAAGCTGAGAGTTACCACCGCAGTAGAAGCCTCCGGATCTGCCACTTCCATCACCGGCGTAACCATGGGAGCTGTGCTGGGTGTCTTCTCCCTGGCCAGCTGGGTGAGTTTCGGGTCTGGTGTCTCCGTCAGACCTTTGGTGTGGGCGAGTGGGGGCGACAGTGAGCCCCAGACCAGACCCGAAAGGGCCTCGGCTGCAGAATCCTGGGGGTTGGAGGGACCGGCCCTGAGTTGCAGAGAGTATCCGGGGGCCCAAGCCAAAATCTGCCATCGGGATCAGGCGGCTCCCTCTCCGGGTTTGTTGAACGTAGGAGGCCAGGCCGCCATTGTTTACAATTTCTGTTGCCCCGCCCCCGCGAGCCTTCCGGCTGCTGAGTTCACCAGCTGCTGGAATGGGACCAAGGAATGAGTTCCTGAGGCAGACGCTCTCTGGTACACTTCGAAGCACCTTCTTAAGGTGGCGCCACTGAATTTGGATAGCTCGAATAGTATTTTTATCCCGGAGCACGGGACTTGCCGAAGCTACAGAGTATGTGGCAGAGCTGTGATTTTAAAGGAGGCCTGTCTGCAGTGGTGGTGCAAGGGGAAGAAGGCCTTGTAGATTATTGTTCAAAATGGGAAGCCATGGTCTGAACTTTGGGACCCCGTACAAGTCGTTTATCTCGTCTCATAAGATGAGGATGATCACCCCAGCATTCCTCCCTGGGGAGTTGTGGGATACAATGAATAAATGGATTGAATCACTTTGTAGGTTGTAAACTCCACATTTTAAAACACTTTTTAGACTCTATGGAGTAGAATATGCTGAGTTCCCTCATATACTCACTTCGGAGGAACATGGTTCCTTGAAATCATTTCCGTGTTTCCTAATTCCCAACTGATTTAATTGACAGAGGACTTAATCTCAGTTCATTCCACTACCATTTCTTGGGGACTCAGTGTATTTTCTATTCTTTAAGGTTGTTGATCTTAAATAAAAAGGGCAGGTTCTTTGAGAGCAGTGGCTTTACAATTTTAAAAAATATTTTTAATTGTTTTTTTTTCTTTGACCTAAAGTAAATAAATTTTATATAGTTGAATTAATATATCCATTTAGACACAAGTTTCATGAAATAGTTCTTACCTTTATCTGCTGTACAATTTCTCTACCATATTTTTTTTTTATCCTCACCCGAGGACATTTTTCCTTTTTTTTTTTGTTCAGGTAGAGTGGGAGGGAGAGAGAGGAAGAGAGAGAGAGAGAGAAACATCGACGTGAGAGGAACATATCGAGTGGCTGCCACCCGCACAACCGACCAGGGCCGGGGACAAACTGCAACCGAGGTACGTGCCCTTAGCGGAAACCGAACCCGGGTCTCTCTGGACCGCAGGCCGACGCTCTAACCACTGAGCCAAACCAGCCAGGGCTCTCTACCATATTTTTAAAAAGTCCTGATCAGCCCTGGCCAGTTTTGCTCAGCGGTTAGAGCGTCGGCCTGCGGTCCGGAGAGACCTGGTTCGGTTCCCACTAAGGGCGCGTACCTCGGTTGCAGTTTGTCCCCAGCCCTGGATGGGTCGTGTGGGTGGCGACCACTCGATGTGCCCCTCTCACATCAATGTTTCTCTCTCTCTCTCTCCCCCTCCCTCCCTTCCTCCCTCCCACCCTGTCTGAACAAAATATCGAAAAATGTCCTGGGGTGAAGATAAAAAAAAAGAGAGAGAGTCCTGGTCAGTTGAATTTTTTTTTATCCTCACTTGACATTTTTGCATTCATCTTCAGATAGAGTGGAAGGGAGAGCGGGAGAGAGAGAGAGAGAAACATGATGTGAGAGACACATAGACTGGTTGCCACCCACACAACCTCAACCCCAACGGGGACAAACTGCACCTAAAGTACGTGTGGAACCAAACCCTGGTCTGTCTGGTCCTCAGGCAGACAATCTAATCGCTGAGCCAAAACGGCCAGAGCTGGTCAGTTGAATTTTACAGTCCACTAGCAAGTCAAACTCACTATTTGCAAAATAGATGTAGAAAAAATATAGTTAAGAAGGTCATTAATTAAGGAGTGAATTGGTCATTTGAAAGAAAGAAGTTCTTCCTGTACAAATAACACGAAACATTTTGGCTTTGATGTAAAGCTAAGATTTGAATTTATGTCATCAAAGCATTTCTGTAAATCACTTTCATATTTTATGAATCCCTTTTGTTCAATAGGAACAACAAGTTCAGTGTACCAGAGAATGGAATAAGTGAGGGGAAGAATAATAGGAAATGAAGTCAGAAAGCAGCAGGGAGCCAAATCATGGAGATACCCATTGTCCAGTCTTGTGGGCCAATTTAAGGACTTGGGCTTTTACGCCTAAGTGATATGGGGATCCATTACAGAAAAGAGGAATGATCAGATCGGATTGTGTTTTAACAAGGTTGCTGTGTGGAGTATAGATGGTAGAAAAGAATGGGTAAAGCAGTGTAGGGGAGGAAAAACTTTTCTTCACCCTCTGCTAGTAGTTAGGGACCTATGGATTAAACTGACAAAATGCACATTAGCAAATGAAAAAAGTTTATGTGTGCAACACACACACACACACACAGGAGTGCCCAGTGATGAACAACTCAAAAGAGGTGGTTAGAAAGAATATAGGACTTTTATTTCTGACTTAATAGGGGAAAAGGAGGTGAAGAAAAGGGCTTCTATGGGAAGAACAAATAAGTTGTTTATTTCTTAGGAAAGACAAATGGGCTTTTAGGAGAACAAATGGGAGATAAAGTTTGTGATAATAACTTGTTTGGGTAGATACAGAGGTCTTTTTATGTTCTTCATGGCCATAAAACTCCCTTGGAGAGAGATTATGACAGCCTCACATCCCAGAAGTTGCTGCTTTTAGTCAGGTGAGGAAAGCTCTGAGAAGGATTTTTTTCTGCCTCTGTTCTGAATCTCAAATGTTTTCATGTTAAAATAATTTTTATACTAACTCTGGATTCTGAATGGGCTGCTATAGCAGTGAAACATGAGCTATTGCATTTAATCCAGATGAGAGATGATATTATTGGCTTAGACCAACATGATAGCTAAGGATGCTATGAAAGTGGTCAGATTCTGGGTATATTCTGAGGATAGAGCTGATGTGCAGACAGACCAGATGAGGGTTTTGGAAAAAGAGAAGGTATCAAGGATGGCTTCAGGGTGTTTGGTGTAAGCAACCAGAAGAATAGAGTTGTCATTTAGAGATAGGGAAGTGACATAGCATACAGTAGGATAGGTTTGTTCCACAGATCAAATATCTTTACACAGTAGGTACTTGATTCATTTTTATGGCTAAATAATATTCTATTATGTGGATATACCACATTTAATTATCCATTCATCAGTTGATAGACATTTGGGTTGATTCTGCATTTTGACAGTTGTGAATAGTGCTACTTTGAACATTCATGTACAGGATTTTATTTGAATTCCTGTTTCAGTTCTTTTGGGTGTATATTTAGGAGTGGGATTATGGGTCACCTGGCAATTCTATGTTTAACTTTTTGAGGAATCTCCAGGTTACTCTTTAATTTTTTATCTTTATTGATTCTAGAGAGAGAGGAAGGGAGGAAAAGAGAGAAAAAAACATCAAACGGTTACCTCCTGTACTCAGCCTGACCGGGCATCAAACCTGAAACCTGGGTATGTGCCCCAACCAGGAATTGAACCTGCCACCTTTCGGTATACAGGAAGGTGCTCCATCTGAGCCACATTGGCCAGGGCTCCACATTACTCTTTTTAAATTTTCTTTCTTTATTGATTTTAGAGGGAGAGAGAGAGAAAAAAAAAAAAACATCGATGAGAGAGAGCATCGATTGGCCGTCTCCTGCATGCCCCCCACTGGGGGATTGGGTCCACAACCTGGGCATGTGCCTTGACTGGGAATTGAACCAATGACCTCTTTGTACATGGGTCGATGCTCAACCACTGAGCCACACTGGTTGGGCTCCAGGTTACTCTTTTTTTATTTCCAGGTTACTCTTGAATGGAGCTAAATGGCTCTTGCTGTCATTATTTATAAGGGTTTCCATGTAATATTGCTTTTTGCTGTAATATCGAATTTGGTAACTAGGATTCTCAGTAAATAACGGTGTAATTACGTTTGTATTTTTTTCAATATTAAGATATGTTGTTTTTAAATATAATAATGATCCCTGTGTGAATATATTTAAAACTTATTGGGCTCTTAATATGTTTTAGGTACTATGTTGAGTGCTTATTTAATAGAGTAATGTCTGAGAGAGGAAGATTCTGTTACTGAGTCTGTTTTACAGATGGAGAGAAAGGTTTGCTGAGATTAAGTGGCAGAAATAATATTGACCCCAGAACCCATGTTTGTTTTTTTTTTAATCCTCATTAGAGGATATTTTTCCATTTATCTTAAACTAGAGTGGGAGGGAGGAGGAGAGAGAAAAATCGATGTCCCGCAGGACCCCAACCAGGGCCGGGGACCGAACCACAACCGAGGTACTTGCCCTTGACCAGAATTGAACCCGCAACTCTTTCATCTGGGGGTGGATGCTCTAACTGCTGAGTCAAACTGGCCAGGGCCAGAGCCCATGTTTTTAACCACTTCCTCCCAGTTGTAATTCTCTGTTAAAACTGTCAAAGCCTGATTAGTTTTGTTTTCTGTTCTGTGCTACCTGTGTCATGAAGGAGTCCACTGAAAGGTCTCAAGTGGCCATGTATGCTTATTACAGGTTCCATGCCTTTGTGGTGGTGCATCCTGTTTGCTGTGTAGTTGCTGTCCCAACAGTAAGAATTCCACTGTGACTCGCCTCATTTATGCTTTTATTCTCTTCCTGGGCACTCTTTCATCCTGCATCATGCTAACGGAAGGAATGGAAAGTCAGTTGAAGAAGGTCAGTAGAAGTAACAGAACCCTTAATGTACTGATTATTTTTATATTTTGAAAAATTTTAGTTGAGATTAATGTTCTTATTTATTTCTTCACTCTTATGAAAGTCGATCAAGTTCATTGTTATTTGGGGTATAGTCAAGACACAGAATATGAAGGTATTAGTCCTTTTCCAGAAATAAAGGAAGTCAAAGTGAACATCTTCAGGTTCTAGTCTAACAAGTGAGAGAAAACACATTAAAAGGGTGGCCCTAAAACATTTTCTTTCCATGTATGTTTAAAATTTAAATATTTAAACTGAACTAGGCCTTTGGAAGGAGTTGAAGCATGAAAATTCATGGGAAAATGGGAGGTAACCTCATCAGTAGAAAAGCACAAAGAAGAGATCACTTCACTTTTATTTCCAAAATGCAAGTTGTTTATACTATTCAGTGACAAGATTGTAAATGAATTGGAAGACAGAGAAAAATCCCACAGGATAGTCTTACAGTTGTTGAAGTAGTCAGTTTTATAAATCCAAGTTTTCCTATGGTGGGATAGAATCTCTGTTTAAATGTGGGTGTTCCTATAACATTGAAATTACTTTTTCCAGATTCCTGGATTCTGTGAAGGGGGATTTAAAATCAAGTTGCCTGATACAAATGCAGATAAAGATTGTAATGTGCAGGTCGGTTATAAAGCTGTATATCGGATCAGCTTTGCCTTGGCCACCTTCTTCTTTGCCTTTTATCTGCTCATGTTAAAAGTAAAAACGAGTAAAGATCCCAGAGCAGCCATACACAATGGGTATGTAAGATTTATTATTAACTTGTTATATTATAGAGTGGATCCTCCTATTTAGCAGTTAATGTTGCCATTCTGATGGAAGCAGTAGAGTATGTAAATCAGTGGCCCAGATGTATGTCTGACCTATTGTACCCATGAAGTTGTTTCAGCGTCATTTTCAGTTGGAGACCTGTAGCATTGGAGGAGGTAGAGGGGATGAGAAGAGTCTTAACCTTTTTAAAAAATACCTTTTGTTTCAAGTTTCTAGATTTTTATTGAACACCTATGAACTAGTTTAAGCACTGTGCTAGGCACACCACACACATTTTTCCCTTTATATTATTAAATGGCAAGTATGTACATAACATATTTAAACAGTATATAGAAAGATAAACAGTGAATATATTTGGACCACTGATTTACATACTCTGTTGCTCCTCATTCCTGGCCCCCAGGTTTCCCTAATTCTCATTGAAGACTGAAGGGAGTTTTGTAAACTTTATAAGTAATAATCTCCTTTTTATAGATGCAATAACTGAATTTCAGAAAGGTTGTGTAAATTGCTTGAGCTCTCAGCCAGTGAGGGTTGGAGCTGAAGTTGAAACTCAGTTTTTTTCAGCTCCAAAGCTTGATTCTCTTTACCCTACCATATAGGAGTCTTTAAAGATGGTTTAAAGAACTAAAAGCCAGGTTTGGTCTTGGCTTTGCCAGTGATGAACTGTTAATTATGAGCAAGGCACTTATATCCTGTGTTGTAAAAGGATTGGGTGATAACTTTTCCCCAGATCTAATAGTTAATTGCTCTGTATTTAGCTAACATTGTTAGTTTAGAACACTTCTGAATTCTAGAAAAATTCCTGTCTTTAAGTGCTAAAAGTAGGGAAACTCTAAGGATATATGTTCTTCTTAATATGAATGATCTGTTCTCTGTGCTGTTTGTTCTTAAATTGTGTGAAGTATTGAATGAAGTAGCTCCATGTCAAATGAAATTCTAAGTCCAGTCATATTGGAAATGCTACTAAGGCTTATATTTGCATTTTAGAAATTCACTCTCTCATTAGAAGGGTGAAAATTAGCATTTCATAAATGCATTTTTTAACATTTTAATAGGTTTTGGTTCTTCAAAATTGCTGCCATTGTTGGTATCATGGTTGGATCTTTCTACATTCCTGGGGGCTATTTCACCACAGGTATGGCTCACTATTAAGATGGTTAATAATAATATATACAGACTCTACAAATGATGGAGTTAAAGCTATATTTTCATTACTGAGTTTGCAGAACTGACAGTTAAAGGAGGTGTGGTGTCTAATTATATGACTTGGTACTAATATTTATATGTTAAGGCATTCAGGTCACTTCTCAGCTGTTCTGGAACCATATGTTAATTGTTTGCCATTATTTTAATACTTTATCTGCTTACTTGGCAATACTAAGTTAATCAGAGAGCTGGTCAACATAAGGACTTGTAACTCATGTGCTCTGCCACCCCTGACTCAGCCTTCTTTCTTACCATGGCATCGAGTGATATGTGGATTTCCACTGTGGTTTTTCCTATAAAGTAAAGGAAAAGGCTTATAGTAGCATTTGAATGTCAGTTCCTAGGCTCCCCTTGGCACAAGATAGAACAAGTGTTAAAAGGTCTGAAACGCAACAGAACACTTCTCAGAGAATGCCTTTGAGTTTGGAATTGCAGTAATCTTGCTGGAGTAATTGAGTAAACTGTACTGCTGTTACAGAGACAGAATATTTCTTTACCACAGCTCTCTTATTGAATTGAAATCTTTTTAGAATGTTAGTAACATTCTGAAATGTTACTCTATGGTAAAGAATAACTGTTCTTTTGGTTTGTAGTCTGGTTTGGTATTGGCATGTTTGGGGCCTTCCTCTTCATCCTGATCCAGCTGGTGCTGTTGGTAGACTTGGCTCACTCTTTGAATGAATCATGTGTAAATCGAATGGAAGAAGGAAACCCAAGGTGCTGGTATGCTGGTAGGTATCTAAACTCATCTATGAGAGTCATACTGCATTATGCTACATTAAACAGGGTGTACAAGTAAAATCTCTATTGAATTCAAGGTCGAGCTGACTTTAAAAACTATAATTGCCCTTTGAGTTAATTCTGAATTATATGCATTACTGGGAATAGCACTGATATATACATCATTAGATTTCCCCAATTCATTTATTTTGAGATTTGGGATGCAACTACATATATTTAGATAAGGGAAAAAGTTGTGTTTAGTGACATTGTTCTGGTTTTGATTTTCTTGTTTCCCTGGACAAGGGGACTCAGACACATTCTACATATAGGGCATCTGCCAACATAGACAGAAGGAGGTAAGTAGTATTTACTGCTTTATTCAAAGTGTGACCCCACACCCCTTGTAAAATCCTTCTGGTGGGAAGAGGGTACTTATATTTTTTAGTTTGGGAACAGGATTTATAGCCTGTAATAATGGGGAGGGACTTTGAAGCCCTGTACACCTTAGGAGCAGTGGTGTCCCAGCCATACTTTAGTTTTAAAAATAATCGTTGAGATTCCTTGCCCTGACCCACCCCCACCCCCACCCCCATCCCCTGCCATTTATAAAATGATAGATACTCTGTGTCAAGAATTTGGAAACAAAAAATCACAAAAGAAAAAAATTCCCCCCTAATCTAACTCCTCAATAATTATTTCTCATTCTCGACATATTAGTCTGTATCCGTCTAGTCTTTTTTCTGTGTGTACATATGTATCTTCTATGTATGCAGAAAGTCACTGAAAAATATGTAATATGTTTATGTCTTACTTTTTAAATGTATAATACAAATAGTTTATAGTTTGGCCTTTTTTTAAAACTTAGAAATAGCTTGTGAATATGTTTGGCTGCAGTATAGCAATAAATACCTAATAACATATCTTGGAGTACATTTCTGATTATTTATTTCCTTAGAATAAATTCGCAGAAGTAGAAGAGTCAAAGGGTATGGATATTTTATGTGCTTTTAATACATGTTATCAAATTATCCAGTTGTTTTTTTTTCATCTTATTTATTAGGGTGCTTCTTTTTAAATTGAAAAAGAAAAAAATTGTGCCATTTTGACTGTAAACACAAATGATACTATATTTTTTCAAATGTTTTTATTTTTAAATTTTTATTAAAATATGTTTTCATTGATTTTTTTGGAAAGAGAGATAAAAACATTGGTGTGAGAGAGGTACATCGATTGGCTGCCTTCTGCACGCCCCTGCTGGGGATGGAGCCCATAACGCCGGGCATATGCTCTGACTGGGAATCCAACTGGGACTTCTCAGGCCATGGGGTGACGCTCAATCCACTGAGCCACACTGGCTGGGCACAAATGATAGAATTTTATAAAGACTAAAACATGCAACTCTACCAACCTGCAACAACTCACTTACCTCTCCAGATGTAATCACTATTACTGTACCTTTATGTATTTGTGCACATCCACGTTTTTTTTATTTAAATCTAAATACTGTTCCATGACTTGCTCTTTCACTTATTGTATGATGAGCATCCTTTTCTATCAGTGAACATAGGCGTGTCTTATTCACTAAAGAGTTGCATGATATTCCCATCTGTACAATTCCTTGATATTCCATGGCATGGTATACCATGATTCATTTAACCATTGCCATGTTATTGGTCACTTAATTTGTTCCTAATGTCTGTTTATTGCAGAAAAATATTTTAAAAATTGTCATTATGGATGGGGAATCCTGAAACTCCTTCTTTCTAATAAAAATTTATTTATTTATTTACTTATTTATGTATTTCCTATTCATTTCTATTTTGTATAATTCATTTTGGATCATTCCAATTCTAGAAAAATTTAATAATAGATTATAGATTTGTCATATTTTGGAATAACTAAAGGAGAAATCTTGTATATTCAGATGGAAAAACTTTTTTTTTTTTTTTTATCCTCACCTGAGGACATTTTTCCATTTTTTGTGTAGGTAGAGTGGGAGGGAGAGAGAGGAACAGAGAGAGAGAGAAACATCGATGTGAAAGGAACACATCAAGTGGCTGCCACCCGCACAACCGACCAGGGCCGGGGACAAACTGCAACTGAGGTACGCGCCCTTAGCGGGAACTGAACCCGAGTCTCTCAGGACCGCAGGCCGACGCTCTAACCACTGAGCCAAACCGGCCAGGGCCAGATGGAAAAACTTTAATTAAACTGTGCTAGTAAACTTAATGTACATCATTATTTTATAGTAATATCATATACATCACTTAAACATGCAAAATCCATTGAGATTGAGATAAGTAGGAACTAGTTTTTTCAAATAAGTTTGTGCTTTGAATTAAATACAGTTGATGTGATACGCTGTATACTATTTCATGTTTTCTATTTCTCAGAGTTACACAGCTAATTGTTTATTATTCAGAAAGGAATATTACTTTAGATATTTGAAAGTAGCAAATGACCAATTTCCCACAATGATGTGGTCTTGTTGTAATAGGAAACGGGTTTATGTAGCCAGCAGCTATAGAGGAAAAACTGCCATAAAAGATGCCTTTCTGTTGTCTACTGCTAACACTATCCCTGGTACTCAGCTTGCTGTGAACTGGGCCATTTTGAGGGCCAAGAAGTCTTAAAGGTTCCTAAGAAAAGCTTATAATGAACAATATTTAGCATATAGTTAGAATTTTCTCTGGCTAGAATTAGATATCTGGCTTTTCAACCCATGAAATCAAGTTAGTAATCCAGGAAGTGAATTCAGTTGTTTGGTGGATTTTGTAATTTAACCTTGAGCCAGTTCTCAGTCTGAAACTTCAACCTTGGGGCTTCTGTCATTTCATTCTGGTGGTAAATTAGTAACCACCAGAAAAAAAATAATGTCTATTTTCATATGGGGTGTAGAAGAAAATTGTTCTTCATTATAAAAGTTTGTTAGAATTGTGGGTATTTATATTGGTTTCCCTTTTTTTTAATTTTAGTTTTACTATCTGTCACAAGTGTCCTGTATACCCTTTCAATCATCTTTGTCGGTTTGCTTTATGCATACTACACCAGACCAGATGGCTGCACAGAAAACAAGTTCTTCATCAGTATTAATCTGATCCTTTGTGTTGTGGTTTCTATTATATCAATCCATCCAAAAATTCAGGTATGGTGGTTTTTTGCTTCTTCCTGTGAGATATTCAATTAATGCTAAACTTGAAACTTAGGTAACTTTTTATATGAATTTATGTCTAAGTTTTACCCTACTTAAACATTTCTCCATGTTATGATGAATTCTATAATTATAGTTTAGTGTATAAAACATGCCATTGAGCCCAGCCAGTGTGGCTCAGTGGATTGAGTGTCGTCCCAAGGACTGAAAGGTCCCGGTTCCATTCCCCATCAGGGTACATGGCTGGGTTTCAGGCTTGACCCCCAGTAGGGGGCCTGCAGGAGGTAGACAATTGAAGTTTCTCTCTCACGTGGATGTTTCTATCTCTCTCTCCCTTCTTCTCTCTCTGAAAATAATAAAAACGTATTAAACAAAACAAAACAAAAGTTCCATTGAGTTGCCAGTATTATAATTAAATGAATAATTTCCCTATCATTTAAAAAAGCCTAGGTAACTTGAAAATTTATAATTTTTTTTTTATCCTCACCCAAGGACATTTTTTCCATTTTTTGTTCAGACAGAGCGGGAGGGAGAGAGAGAAACATTGACATGAAAGGGACACATCGAGTGGTTGCCACCCGCACGACCCAACCAGGGCCAGGGACATTTTAGGAGAATTAAACTAGAAAAAAGGAATTGATTTTTACTGATTTTTTTTTTTTATCCTCACCTGAGGACATTTTTTGTTCAGATAGAGTGGGAGGGAGAGAGAGGAAGAGAGAGAGAGAGAAACATCGACGTGAAGGGACACATCGAGTGGCTGCCACCCGCACGACCAACCAGGGCCAGGGACAAACTGCAACCGAGGTACGTGCCCTTAGCGGGAACTGAACCCGGGTCTCTCGGGACCGCAGGCCGATGCTCTAACCGCTGAGCCAAACCGGCCAGGGCAAGGAATTGATTTTTAATACTTAAAAACAAAACTCGTGCTCCTGAGTTTCATCACTTAAATACCATGTTTTTTTAACCCTCAAGGATATTTTTCCATTGATTTTTAGATAGAGTGAGAGGGAGAGAGAAACATTGATGTGAGAAAGACACATTGTTTTTCTCCCACGTGACCCCGACCGGGGCCAAGGATTGAACCTGCAACCGAGTTACATGCCCTTGACCAGGAATCAAACCTACAGCTCTTTAGTCTGTAGTCCGACGCTTCAACCGCTGAGCCAAACCAACCAGGGCTAAATACCATACTTTTAAAAATTCATGGAGTCTAATATATGAAATATGAAAACTAGACATCATCTCTCCTTTTTAATTTTTTTTTTTTTTTTTTATCCTCACCCGAGGACATTTTTCGATATTTTGTTCAGATAGAGTGAGAGGGAGAGAGAGAGAGAGAAACATCGACGTGAAAGCGACACATCGAGTGGTTGCCACCCACACGACCCAACCAGGGCTGGGGACAAACTGCAACCAAGGTACGTGCCCTTAGCGGGAACCAAACCCGGGTCTCTCCGGACCGCAGGCCGACGCTCTAACTTCTGAGCCAAACTGGCCAGGGCAATTTTTTTTTTTTATTGAGTTTAGAGAGAGAGGAAGGGAGAGGGGGAGAGATAGAAACATCAATGAGAGAACATTGATTGGCTGCCTCCTGCATGCCCCCCACTGGGGATCAGGCCCACAACCTGGGCGTGTGCCCTGACCGGGAATCGAACTGTCAACCTCTTGGTGCGTGGATCGATGCTCAACCACTGAGCCACTCCAGCTGGGCTCACCTATTATTCTTTTTTTTTTTTTTAAATGTATTTATTGATTTTTTAGAGAAAGAGAGAAACATTGATGTAAGAGAAACATTGATTGGCTGCCTCCTGCACTCCTACTGGGGATCGAGCCCATAACCCCAGACATATGTCCTGACCTGGAATTGAATCAGGACCTCTCAGTCCATGGAACAACGCTCAATCCACTGAGCCACACTGGCCGGACATCACCTCTCCTTTTAAAAATGAGAAAGTAAAGCTCGAGAGATGATGGGCCACCCATGTAGTTAGAGGCAACGCTGAGGTTAGATCCCACTACACTGCGACTAATAAATCGAAGGCTCTGTGTGATAAACAGGAATTTCCAGGATTATGAAATGCCTTGAGAACTAAGAGCACATGCTTCCTCTTTCTTGGTTCTTTTTCAAGCTAACTCAAACTGAAAGGTTACTTGTCATCTTTTGGCTGTCGAGCAGAATCAGAATGTTCTTGCTTAATAACAATTCAGTGGGTCCCAGGGAAGTACACCAGGTTTTAGAAAGTCAGCCCTTGCAATTCCTATGACATTGTTTTCTTTTTTATTCCATAGGAACACCACCCTCGTTCTGGCCTCCTGCAGTCCTCTATCATCACTATCTACACCATATACCTTACATGGTCGGCCCTGACCAATGAGCCTGGTAAGGGAATGGCAACAGCCCATATTTATTTGATGAAAAAAAAGTAGGAAATTACTCCTTTGGTGGAGTAAAAACTAGAGCTACAGCAGATGTCAAACAAGTGAACAAACAAAAAACTTGACTGAAATGAGTAATGTTCATTATTTGCAGATATTTACCTTTCAAGTTTTATTCTGTATGTCTGTTCATATTTGACAGTGTAAGGGACCACAGTCCTTTATGTTAGTCTAGGCCAGTGATTTTCAGCCTTTATCATGTCATGGCACGCATAAACTAATTACTAAAATTCTGCAGCACACCAAAAAATATATTTTCTGTTATCTTACCAAAAAAAGTATATAATTTTGATTCATTCATATTGTATGGCTATTGTTATGTTGGCTGCTGCTGTTTTTTTTTTTTTTTAATTTAATTTTTATTTATATATTTATTTATTGATACTAGAGGGGGGGGGAGGGAGAGGGAAAGAGAGATAGAGACATTGATGAGAGAGAACATTGATTGGCTGCCTCCTTCATATCCCCCACTGGGGATCAGGCCCACAACCTGGGCACGGGAATCAAACCAGCGACCTCTTGGTGCATGGGTCGATGCTCAACCACTAAGCCACAACAGCCAGGTGGCTGTTGTTATTTATTTATTTATTTACTTATTTAGAGAGAAGGAGGGAGAGAGAGAGGGAAACATCAATGAGAGAGAACATCAATTGGCCGCCTCCTGCATACCCCTCATTGGGAATTGGCCCACAACCTGGGCATGTGCCCTGACCAGGAATCGAACCGGTGACCTCTTGGTGCATGGGTTAGTGCTCAACCACTGAGCCATACCAGGTTGTTGTCATTTTTTTATTTGACAATCTAAGGGAAAAAAAGGTCAGTGCCCCTGACCTAACAGTTAGATACGGCATGTTTTAAAAATTCTTGCAGTACACCAGTTGAAAATTGCTGCTCTAGGCTTTTCCCTAGACTAAGTCAAACTAGTTAAGAGCTAGACAAGGCAACATTGATTTGGCCCTTCATAGAATTGTTTTAAGTGAATTTTACTTTGGTGTTACAGGCTCTAGAAGAAATAGCTGTAGGAAATCTCCTTTTGTAGTTATTATAGGACTGTTTCTCAATAGGGTATACTATGGATTCCTTTGAAAGGAAAATAATTACTGCAGATCCTCTAATGATGACTCAACTTACTTTTATTATATTCCTATGTAAGTTTGTAACAACAAAATTAGGGATAAACTCCTTGCGTCAAAGCCTTTGCATAATTGTAGAACCAAAAAGATTTATCAGTTAAACTTCAAAACCAGTAAAATCAAGCTTGATAGTTGTGACTTCTGACAAATTAATGTTTCTTTTTTTGTAAATCTAAGCCACTGATTGCAACACAAATAAATTACTGACTGCTAAGATTCAGTTTCTTTTAAATATAGCATTCCCACATTTTATGTTATGATTGACTGTATAGTAACTGCACCCGTCATATCCTTTCTTGGAACAAGATGAGTTATAACTAAGGATAATAAAATGTTTCCCATTTTCAGATCATTCCTGCAACCCAAGCCTGTGGAGCATCATTACACACCTGACTGCACCAACCTTGGCTCCTGCCAATTCAACTGCTGTGGTCCCTACCTCTGCTCCACCATCACAGGGTGGGCACATTCTGGAGAGTGGAAACTTCATTGGGCTGTTACTCTTTGTTCTCTGCCTTTTGTATTCTAGGTAAGTTCAAAACTACTTAGAACGAGATTCTCATGAATCTTGTGATTCATGAGAGTGAAGCAGCTATTTTGCTTTCAAAGAGCAGTGTGAGGAATTTTTAAAAACAGCCAAATTCTTCTTTATTAAAAGCCCTTGACTTCCCTCAGTTACCCATTTCTTAAAGTTCATTAAATTCATCAAAGAATTCCTCCCAACCTTACAAAGGATACCGTCTTATTTGTGTAGGAGGAAAAAGTCCACACCTGACCCTAGATCAATTAGAATAGTGACTCTGAAAATAGGTTGGCTTATTTGTTTTTTAAATGTATTTCCTGGTTATTCTAAATAATTATACACATCTAATGTTAAAGACTCTAGTAAATCCAAGAATCCAGATACAACCTATAGTAGCAGTTTGCACTTATCTTCCCACTCATTTTATGATATTTTCTGTGTAATAGTTTATATTACTTTAATTATTTCTAAATATATAATAATAAAAGTAAGTAAGGGTATATTTATATAAACTAATAATATAAGTGAGAAAAGCATAAAGTAGGAAATGAAAGTATCCTCCCTTGAGATATACCTCTTCCATGGTTAACATATGGTACATATTATTTCAGGCTTTTTTCCTTTGCTTATTCTTACTATCAACCTACCTGTATCTGTATAATTATTTTTATTTTATATAAGTGTAAATACACAATTTTTAAAATTCTTTCCCAAGGATATGTTTACTGATTTTAGAGAGAGAAGAAGGGGGTAGGAGAGAGAGAGAGAGAGAGAGAAACATCAATGTGAGAGAGAAGCAGGGATCGAACATACAACCTAGGTATATGTGCCCTGACCAGGAGTCGAACCTGCAGCCTTTTTGTTGTATAAGACAACTCAATCACCTGCCTGCATAAATACACAATTTTATGTATATTACTTGATATATAACTTTTTAAAATAAATTAGGAGCATGCTATATAAGTACATATGCTGTTCTGAAATATGAATTTATCTGGCATAAGAATAATGTCATCTGGACAGCTTTCCATAACATTATGTGTAGATTTACCTTTTTTTTTTAATTGTTGCTTAAAATAGGGGTTGGCAAACTACAGACAGCCCTGGGCTATCTGCCTATTATAAGTAGTTTTTGGAACACAGCTATGATCATTTGTTTTCTTTTATTTTCTTTTCTTTTCTTTTATTTATTTATTTATTTATTTATTTTTTTATCCTCACCCGAGGACATTTTTCCATTTTTTGTTCAGGTAGAGTGGGAGGGAGAGAGAGGAACAGAGAGAGAGAGAGAAACATCGATGTGAAAGGAACACATCGAGTGGCTGCCACCCGCACAACCGACCGGGGACAAACTGCAACCGAGGTACATGCCCTTAGCGGAAACCGAACCCGGGTCTCTCAGGACCGCAGGCCGACGCTCTAACCGCTGTATGCTCATTTGTTTTCATATTCTCTATGACTATTTTTGTTTGTTTTGCTTTTGGCCTAGCTGTTTTGTTTTTTTTTTGAGCTATAATTCACATACCACAAAATCACCCTTTAAAAAATGTACAGTTCAGTTCGGCCAGTGTGACTCAGTGGATGAACATTGACCCATGCACCATGAGGTCGCTGGTTCGATTCCTGGTCAGGGCACATGCCCAGGTTGTGGGCCCCAACCCCAGTGCGGGGCATGCAGGAGGCGGGCAGTCAGTGTTCTCTCTCATCAGTGTTTCTGTCTCTCTCTCCCTCTCACTTCCTCTCTCTCTAAAGTTAATAAAGAAAAAAAGAATTAAAAAACCATATTAAAAAAAAATGTACAGTTCACAAGTACCTCTTCTATTCTTAGAATATACCACTCTCCCCCCTCCCAGCTAACTTACTCATTCTTTAATTCTCTGGAAATCCTTCCCTGGTATAATCCCATCACTGGGATTTTTAGTATATTCACAGAGTTCTGTAACCATCACCGCAATCAGTTTTACCATTTTATTTACCCAGAAAGAAAACCCATACTCGTTAGCAGTCACTCCGCATTCCCCCTACCCTCCATCCCCTGGCAGACAGTAATCTCTTTTCTGTTTCTAGATTTGCTTATTCAGACATTTCATATACATGGAATCATATACTATATGGTCTTTTGTGACTGGCTTCTTTCATTTAGCATAATGTTTTCAAGGTTCATCCATGTTGTAGCATATGTCAGTATTTAATTCCTTTCTGTTGTTGGAAATAATATTCTGTTGTGTGGATACACTACATTTCATTTATCTATTCATCATTTGATAGATATTTGGATGTTTCCACTGTGGGGTTATCATGAAAAATGCTGTACAAGTTTTTTGTGTGGGTGTAAGTTTTCAGTTCTCTTGGGTATATACCTGTGAGAAGAATTGCTGGATTATATGGTACCTCTATGTTTACCTTCTTGAGAAACTGCCAAAGCATTTTCCAAAGTGGCTACATCATGTTACAATCCCACTGTCAATGTTATGAGGGTTCTAATTTCATTACCTAACAATTCTAGAGGATGTGAAGCAGCATTTCGTTTTGTTTTGTTTTGAATCCTCAGCTGAGGATATTTTTTCATTGATTCTTTCAGATAGAGTGGGAGGTAGGGAGGGAGAGAGACAGAGATGAGAGAGAGAGAAAGAGAGAAACATCGATGCAAGAGAGACACGTCAATTGGTTGGTTGCTTCCCATATGACCCTGACCAGGGTCAGGGATCAAACCTGAAACCAAGGTATGTGCCCTTGACCCGGAATCGAACCCAAGAATTTTTGGTTCATGGACCGATGCACTAACCACTGAGCAAAACTGGCCAGGGCTTATTTTGGTTTTGATTTACATTTCCCTAATGTGACTGTTAAACATTTTTTATATGTGCTTATTGGCCTTTTTTTTTTAATCTTTCTTGAAGAAATGTCTATTTAATCCTTTTGCCTGTTTTTAAATCGGATTTGTTTTTATTGTTTTTGTATATGTTTGGAGGTATGGGCCCAACTTCATTGTGTTGTATGTGGATATCCAGTTGTCCCAGCACTATTTGTTGAAAAGACTACTCTTTCCCTGTTGACTTCTCCTGGCATCTTTGTAGAAAATCAGTTGGCCATAAATGTAATGATTTCTTTCTTGACTCATAATTCTGTTTCATTGATATGTCTATTCTTACGCCAATACCACTTTTTCTATTACTGTTGCTTTGTAGTAAGTTTTGTGCCCCGACTGGGAATCGAACCGGTGACCTCTTAGTACATGGGTTGACATTCATCCATTGAGCCACTTCGGCTGAGCTGTCTTGTTCTTGATTCTAGGAGAAAAGCTTTTAGTCTTTCAATATTTAGTATGATTTTAGCACTGGGTTTTTCATAAATGACCTTTATTATTTTGAGGAAGTTTTCCTCTATTCCTAGTTGGAGTGTTTTTGTCATTTTGAAAGGTATTAGATTTCTTCAAATGCATTTTTGTGTTTTTGTTTTTTTATACTCACCCAATGACATTTTTGCACTTATCTTCAGATAGAGTGGGAGGGAAAGAGGTAGGAAAAGAGAGAGAAACATCCATGTGCAAGAGACCTATCGAGTGGTTGCCGCCCACACGACCCCAACAGGGCCAGGGCCAAACTGCATCCGAGACATGTGCCTTTAGCAGGAACCGAACTCGGGACTCTCTAGTCCATGGGCCAACACTTTAACCGCTGAGCCAAACCTGCCAGCGCTCAAATGCGTTTTTTAATGTTTCTTGAGGTGATCGTGTGGTTTTTGTCCTTTATTTGTATGTATTTTGTTATTGAGTCACTTAACAAACTAGTGAGCATCTATTATATAAGTGAGAACAAGTATAGATAACTAAAGTCATTGTTGCTAGGGAGTTCTTTGAATAGCAAGAAAGACAGGAATAATAAGTACTATGGCAGAGGGAAGCATAAAGAGCTGTGGGAATTTAATCCAGCCCAGTGATTGGATTATATCAGGGAAGGATTCCCAGAAAATATGGCAGAGAATTAAAGAATGAGTAAGTTAGCTGGGAGAGGGGAGGGTGGTACATTCTAAGAATAGAAGAGGTACTTGTGAAGTCATGGAAGTAGACATTGAGAGTTTAGTGTGTTTTGGGAAACTCCTAAGCAGTTAAATAAACTATCAAGTAGTAACTGATAAGAGTATTCTAGCCCTGGCCGGTTTGGCTCAGCGGTTAGAGCTTCGGCCTGCGGTCCAGAGAAACCCGGGTTTGGTTCCCACTAAGGGCACGTACCTCGGTTGCAGTTTGTCCCCGGCCCTGGTTGGGTCGTGCGGGTGGCAACCACTTGATGTGTCTCTTTCACGTCGATGCTTCTCTCTCTCTCTCTCTCTCTCTCTCTCCCTCCTACTCTATCTGAACAAAATATGGAAAAATGTCCTCGGGTGAGGGGAAAAAAAAAGAGTACTCTGTCTTGTGATGGCACGTAACAGTTCAGAACTTGAAGTAGGGCCCTTCAGAACTTGAAGTCAGGCCCCAAAGTAGGAGCAGTTCAGAAGTAACCTTCATGTATATAGGCCAGCGGCAACAGTTCATCTTCATGGCCCATTTCTGATTTGTTTTCCTTGGGATCATTTTCTAGCATCCGCACTTCCACAAATAGCCAAGTAAGTAAGCTGACCCTGTCAGGAAGTGAAAGTGTGATCCTCCGTGATACACCTACCAGTGGTGCCGGTGATGAAGAAGATGGACAGCCTCGGCGGGCTTTGGACAATGAGAAAGAGGGAGTTCAGTACAGCTACTCTATGTTCCACTTGATGCTGTGCCTGGCTTCTTTGTACATCATGATGACCGTGACCGGCTGGTACAGGTAGGAGGCACACACAACACAGATGGAAGACCACTTAGCCCCATTGGGCTGACTGTAAAATCTCCATCCATTTTCCTGAAATACTTTTGATTTTTTTCTCCTCTTGGATGTAAAATTCAGTTGGATTATTACAGTGCAGATTATGGGGAGCTCTTCCAAACTTGACTGCTTGAGAGAGAAGAAAATCATGACATAAAGCGATTTGACCCGCCTTTGTTCTCTAATTTTCCTATGTGTCTAGGGAGGGCCACATAGAGTATTCTGATCAAAGTAATGATTGGTAAGGAAGGAAAGTTTCAGGGAGGCCATTTCAGTCTAGACTTTCACTGGTATCTAGAGCAGCCAGATGTTCTGAAGAACTTTGCCTAAAGATTAGAGTAGTGGGGGTTCTCCATGCTGGCAAGAAGATAAAAGCTGTTTTAGAGGTTGAGTTCCCAGCTCATAAAATCTAAAAATAGCAGTGTCCTCAAGTCCTTTCTAGAACCTTACTGGGGAGTACTGTTAGCCAAGTCTCCCTGGAGAATTTTCTGGCTTTGGCTGGGGGCTGCTCGATGCTGGTGTCAGGCTCCTTTCCTGACTCTCTTCTGTGTTCTTAGCCCTGATGCAGAGTTCCAGAATGTGACCAGCAAGTGGCCAGCTGTGTGGGTCAAGGTGAGCTCCAGCTGGGTCTGCCTCCTCCTCTACGTCTGGACCCTTGTGGCTCCAGTTGTCCTCACCAATCGAGACTTCAGCTGAACCTCTGAGTGCCAGGGACACCACTGAAATTCATGAAGGTTTCCTTTGCTGAAAGCCCTTTTACTGTCGCTTCAACTAAAATAATAAGTGAATGCTTTGCATATTGGACTGTATCCAGGTTTATATCTGAAGGCAAGATTGAATTATGATTGATGCAGTATCTGAACTTTTCATTTACATGTACATTATGTTTATTTTTAACGATATAGTGCAAAGGGAAAATTTTTACATTGTAAAGTGAACAACAGCTGTGCTGTGAAGAGAGTTCTTTATTAAGACCTGTAGGTTCCTACAACTTTGATTTAAAATGTAAGATAGAAAAATACTGGATATTTGAGGCCATCGTTAATATATTTCTATTGCAGTATCCTTAAAGAGTAGGAAAAAGAGTAGTAATGTATTCTATGACAGTTTTCCTCTGTGAAAGTCTTTATTTGTGTGAAACGAGCACTCTTAAACTCTTAAGAGGTGTAGCATCACAGTACTTGGGTGAAGGAGTATGTGTGTGGTCCTTCCCCAGAAGAGGGGTTGCTGATAGGGCTGCTGCTTCTGCATCTTGAGATTTTTCTTTGTTTTATACTATTGATGCTGCTTGATTCAATTCTGTGGCTTTGCCAGAATACTCATTTCAATAAATGGTTTGTAGGTTTGGTTAAAATGAAGATTCACTTGGAAAAAACAACTTTCAGTCCATGTAATTATTTTGTTTTGAGTATGTAAAAGTAAAATGCATGTAAGTTTATTATATTTGCACTATAAGATATTTGATTAAAATAGACTTATGCTTTTAAGGCCCTTTCTTTAACAGCTTTTATAAATTAGCAGCCATTCTATATTTTTTGAGACTTATGTGGGCAGTCAGATTTATCAGGCATCTAGCAGAATGCCTCTTTTCCTTCTAAAACCTCAGGGCTGGTGAGTAAAGTCTTGAACTCATTCAAAAATTGTCCTAATAAATATCTTCTCTGGGTAAGACACTTGGGCAGATGAGAGGCAGGGGCAGGACCTGTCAGGAACCCTCCAGGAAAAGGCAGCACACGAGGGATAGAAGTTTGTTCTTTCAACAAAGATCTACTCTTTGTTCTTTACCAGCACGTCAGGTTCTCAGAGACAACTTTTTTTTTTTTTAATCCTGACCTGGGACCATTTTCCCACTTTTTTGTTCAGGTAGAGTGGGAGGGAAAGAGAGAGAGAGAAACATCAACGTGAAAGGGACACATCGAGTGGCTGCCACCCGCACAACCCAACCAGGGCCGGGGACAAACTGCAACCGAGGTACGTGCCCTTAGTGGAAACTGAACCAGGTCTCTCCGGACCACAGGCCGACGCTCTAACCGCTGAGCCCAACCGGCCAGGGCTAGGAGACACCTTTAAGAGCAGCAGACCCCGGCTCTACCGACTTGGACTTACAGTTTCAAGGAGGGTGAAAATGAGCTGACAAGTGGTACAATGTGGTATAATTAGTGCTGTGACTTAGGAACTGCAGGGAACTCAAAGAAGAAGTGCTGGGGTCAGGGGGGTGTCATGGTAGGCTTCCTGGAGAAAGTGATGTCTAAGCCAAGAATTGTTAGGAGTTAGCCAAGAAACAGGGAAGTGGGATGGCATTGCTGAAGGGTAGACAAAATTTCATGTTAAAGACAGGGAGATTTTTTAAAAACTTGTTTAGTGAAGCTGGAACAGGGAGAAATGGCCCGGGACTAGGTTATGAAGGCCTTTGTAAATCACACTAAAGGGTCAGGGCCTTCTGTTGAGGGCAGTGGGGACCATGTGTATAGTGGCATGAATAAATTGTGTCTTTAGTCACTGTTTATATAGAGAGAGTGGATTTAGAGAGATAAGACCAGAGTAGTCCATGTAAGGTTTGAAACAGAAGTAAAAGCAAGGATGGAGAGCATTTGACAGCTCACAGTTACTTAGTAATTAAAATGTAAAAATTGGTAAATGATTAGCTCTGGGGGAGAAGTAGATTCCTGAGTGATTCTGGTTTCATCACCTGGGATGATGGTGCTTCACTCTGTGTGGTGAGGGGCAGGAAGAGAAAAAAGGTGTGTTTAAAAGATGGAGGTGTGGTCCCTTAAGAATGGCTAAGGGGCCCTGGCTGGTTTGGCTCAGCAGTTAAGACTGTCGGCCTGAGGATCAAAGAGTCTCGGGTTAGATTCTGGTCAAGGGCACGTACTTCAGTTATGGTTCGGTCTCTGGCCCTCGTCAGGGTCGTGTGGGAGGCACCCAATCAATGTGTCTCTCTCACATCGATGTTTTTCTCTCTCTCCCTTACACTGTATCTGAAGATAAATGGAAAAATATCCTTGGGTGAGGATTTAAAAATAAATTAAAAAAAAGAATGGCTAAGGGCATATGCTTGGAAGTCTGACTGGTTTTGCATTATTTTTGCCATTTTCTGTCAAGCAGCTAATATTTACTGAGTGTATACTAAGCTTTATGACCTTGAACAAATAACTGTCTGAGTCTCCTTGTTATCTTTGTTTGAACAAAATATAGTACCTAGTACATAAGATTGTTTAGAGAGTCAAGCTACTTTGGAAAATGCTTAACACATTTTAAGCACGCTGGTAGTACCTGGCAGTCTCAATATGGGCTAAAAAGAGACTGGACAGTATTCAGAGGTCAGAGATTTTTAGCCAAAATCTAGCACAGGCTAGATTTGAAGTGTTCTTACAGAATTAAACACAGGGAACATAGAGGGCACAATTTTGTTGGGTGGAGGTGTAGGGGGTTGTTGGAACCACCATATTTTAAACCACTGGTTTATGTTAGGTACAGAAATAAGACTGTAAGAGGCTTGGGGGGCAGGGAGGTTTAGCCCTTTTCCAGTGTAAAGCAGACACCTCACTTTCCTTAACAGCAGGGCCAGCCAGATTAAACCCATTAAAGGCCCTAAACTTCAGAAACATTACGATATCCCCCCCTTATGTTATACAAAATAAAAGCAATACTGAACTGTAAAATAAGTGTAATAAAGTTTGTAAATTTTTTTCTTACGATGATAAAACTTTGATATTAATTTGAAATAACAAATTTTCTTTAAAAAATAGGGGCAGTGTCCCTGTTGTGCGTGGTTTTAAATGTGAAACCCAGTAGTTTACCCAAGACTGAAGTGAATTTATCCACGAGTGCTGAATTATAGACAAGCATTAATGTCAGCATTTTGAGTAAGCCCAGGATCAGACTATAAAGCAGGGGAGTATTTTGACTCATCAGACCTCATGGTGTCATCTTACTCCAGGTGAGTCACCCAGTGTTTTATCACCATAAACAGGCCTGTCTGCCTCCCAGGATTGCGGATCAGGGGCCTGGCTTTGAGGTCCGCACTGGGCTGTAGGACTTCATCAAAGGCAATAGCAGTGGCTGCTGCTTCACCTAGTTACATCTGGGAGAAAGCTGGTGGGCCCATGCTGGCTGTTTCCTTTCTAGGTTGTTGTTACAAGGTTCTCAGTTAGTTGGGAAATAAAACTTACTCTTGACAACCAAAGATACTGCCAAAGAATGACCATGGACCTCGTTTTTGATGTTCTGGACCAAATCCTAACTCGGACTTAATTTAAACCAGGACAGGTTTTTTTGTCCTTTACTTGACCTTGTCTTGATTGTATTTTTCTTTTTACACATTAAGCTAAGGTGAATATTTAATAATATGAATCATGCATTTGATCTCTGCAGATCTGATGGCAGATACCAGGCTTATGCTTACTAATGGGAACAGCACTTCATCTCCTTACTTCAATTAGACTCCATTGTCTCTTGGCCCAATAGGATGTAGGAGACAACATAAACCAGAGCCTGCTTAGATATGTAGGGGAGTCAGCGGCTCTCTAGGCTATCCATCACTGACAAAAAGGAAAGTTGGTAATCCCCTAAAGGCAGTAACTAGTATCTTACTAGGTCACTGAATCCCTAATGGCTTGCCACTTTATCTGATAAGAGGGTGAACATTTCGTGAAAAATTTTTTTCCAGTAAAGTGTCATATTAATTTTATTACTCACCAGCTATAAATGCAATAATGTAAAACATTTGCTGCCATTTATTATAGAATGTCATACCAGCACTATGTAAAAAGTGGGCAGTGGGGAAAACTAAGATATCTTAGCAAAGAAACAAGAAAATGCTGTCTCATAACATGGACAGTAATCCAGTGGCTATTAAAGTGCCTCGTAAGTATACTCGTAACACGCGTTAGGTGAGGATTGGAGCCATTGGCTCCATTCTTTCAGATGTGAGAAGCAGTCTAAGCTCCGCAGCTTCCCGGGGGAAGGCTGACCTGAAGGGCTGTGTTGCAATGTGAGTACTTACCTGTAGAATCATCAGAGGCCAACAGTATGTGTAGACATCCTGCATGAGAGTATTTCTCAACTGAGCCATCACCAACAGCAGGCCCGCCATGGGGACCTGGCTTTGTCTCTGGGCAGAGTGCGTGCTCCTCTATAGATAGAAACAAGCGGGACAGGTAGAGAAATGGCTAAGCATGCAGAGGACCAGTCGATCAAGCCATACCTTAGTTACCCTTCCAAGGAGTCTGGGTTTACTTTTAGGTGCTTCTAGAATAACATGTTCCATTACAAATTTGGTGTCAAAGGTTAAGAACCTCTGCTTTATATTTTTTAAGAAGCCCTCCCCCCCCTAAAATAAAGCCAGTGTTTAGACTGAAGCTTCCTCACTCTCACAGCTCCGTTCTGTCCCTCCATGTTCCATCTGGACTAACAGTAAGAGAAATAGTGGGCTCCAGTCTGCCTGTCTGCTTTGAATCCCAGTTCTACCACTTGACTAGCTGTGTGTCCTTGAGCAAACTGCTCGACCTTTCTGTGCGTCACTTATCCACAGGAGCAATTATATAGCTTCACTAAGGGTGCTTGACAATGAAATGAGATTGTCTATGTGAAGAACACCATCGATACCCAGCCCACATGAGCTCTCAGGAATTGTTCGCTCTCACTGGACAGACTCAGGGCCAGTCCATGAAGTACATCTGGACCCTGAGAAACGAAAAATGTGCATACTGTCTCCACCACTGCATCTAGCTCCATCCTCCCTACACAGTGTCTGCTAGTTGCACAGGGTCTTCAGCGCAGCCAGCCCTGCACCTACAGAGGGCGCTGTGCCGTCAGTGCCCCTCCTGTCTCAGCTGCAGGCGGCTCTGCCCAGGCCACTATACACCATGAATAAAAGCTTTGGAACCTTAACCCACTGCCATTGTCACAAAGGGACTACACACACAGCCTTACAGAGATTTTTATTGTTGAGACCCAGTCATGCATACTAAAATTATGTTCTCACCACTCTGACTTAGAAAATGCACTAGAAAAATAAACTTTTGGTCAAAACATACACTGAAATAGATGAATCCACCACCGTGTGCCCCTATACTCAAAGTCAAACTGAATTTCAGTTTGAAGTGAGAAATGTAACCAGTGGCTGAAATGATGCCCCAATCTGGTCAGAAAGTTCGCCCACCTCCCACCTGTCAGAGTGGTGTCAGAGGCTGTTGGCCCCAGAGAAGTTCCTAATATTCCACTTGTAACAGGTCCCACCTGAGATGCAAGAGGTGAGGCATATCCACCAGGATCCCCAAGGGCAGCTGGCTGACTGCCCAACTGAACACAGCGCCCAGTGAGATGGAAGGAAAAGCAGCAAATTGGCAAACAGTCAATTCGACACTAGCATCTTCATCCACAAATCATCCTGGGCTTCCCCAGGGGGCAAATTCCACTGAGGAGGAATATCTGACTGATGATGCCTGCTCCTTGCACTTCAAGCAAACCATTTCAGAGTCAGGAGAGCAGTAACAAACTGACTATAGGTTTACAAAAATTCACAGATCCCCAAACTGACAGGTGTGAGAACTGACATCATTCCCGAGCAGTCGAAATGTTTGCTTGGCATCTCCACCCCTCTCACGCCACGGGACAGCCACACTTACACATTACCTAACATTTTACTTCCTAACTAAAAGAGGTTTCAAAGGAAAACTTGAAAAGCGGAAAGCTTGAAAATGAGGTATTACAAGAATGCTGCAGCACTACAGGCTTTGCCCACCCAAACGGAAAAGTAATCCCATCACTGGTCTGAGAATCAGATGGCATTTCAAGAAACTGCCACCAGGGAGAATTCTGAAAGGCTCCACGTCTCACAGGAACTCAGGGAAATACCTCCTATTGCCCTGCTGCTTTTTGGCAAACGATGTATCTTATAAGCTGAAGTGTGTAAACTTAGTGACAGGTTGCTCCCTGTGGAAGCAGGATGAAGTATGAGGGAGTTGATGCCACCTTTGCCAAGAGCTAGTGAGAGGAAGCCGGGGATGCACACTTCTGGCTGTTTCTGTAGATTTCGGCCTCTCCCCATGAAGGCAGAAGAGGGTTCCAGGAAGAGGCACACTGCTGTGTAGCAGTATGCGGGGGAAGGAGGAAACCCCCATAATATCTAAACTTAAGACCCGCTTGGAAGCTTTAGGAGCCAGTTCATTCAGAACTAAATTTCCTGAATAACCCGGATGGGGGATGGGGTGAGCCTCCAATAAGATAGAGTAGTACAGTGTCCCTGAGGCAGGAAGACTGATGCTTGATGCCAGGAACAGAGGTCTCGGGGTCAGGGTGTGATCCCTTTTAGGGCACGATTCAGGGGTGTTCAGTGGCTTACCCAAGGCCACAAAGCAAGGTACAGCTGGAACTCGGCTCCCCTGGTTTCCTCCTTTCCCTTCCCTACACTGCACCACCCTGAATTTTGGAAAAAGGGCATTTTCGGGTGCCTGTGAAAGGGGCTGGAGCTTTTCCCTAAATGTAGGAAAACTCCGCATGTGCTGTCGGTGTGCCTCCACCAGCGAGTAAGGCTCCCTGGGTGCTGCTTGGGCATTCCGTCCCCTGCAGAGGAAACTATGGAAATGCCTAGTGAAGAACAGGCACTGCCTTGATTTTCACCCAGGGAGGTCCTGGTTTCACAGCTTGGTTCAAACTCCTGAGATGCTGGAACTGTTGGCTCCCTCTTTGGAGCCCAGACAGCAGCAGCTCCAGAGGCAGGCAGCAAACCCTGGCTCTGACTCCTTTCAGAGGCGGAAAGAAACAGCTCCTTGTTCCACCTGCAGAGGCCTGAACAACATCCCTCCTGGTCTCTGAGCTACTTCTCTAGGTGAGCTTGGCCACCCGTGTGAGGTCCCATAAACAAAGGTAAGAATGCAATGCAGAGTTTAAACCTTGGAAACTTGGTGGGGCTGAGCAATGCATTTTTCTTTTTTCATTGTTTTGTTTTTTAATCTCTCTCTTCTCTTTGGGACCTAAGAAAGCTTCTAACCAATTTTCCCGCCCAGCAGATGGGTTCCAAACGCTCTGTCTACATTAGCCACCCCCTTGTCACGTTTAGATCTTTTCAGCAGTGCTGGTCACACCATCACCGCTGGGCGAAACTGGAGGCAGCCAGGTGTGCGTTTGGCACTTCTGGGTGTGCGTTTGGCACTTCCGGCTCAGCCAGGTCCCTGGAGGATCCAGGGTGAGTATCCATGGTGAAAAGCACTTTCCCTAGAATTGGCACTAATGAGGTAAGTAATTTCCACCATCAACTTCTCCAGACATTTTCAAAAGTGCTATAAAGATGAATAGATTATTCGCAACAGACTGGCCTTTGAATTTTAGTGCACTGTTCTCCTCCTAACTGAGCTGTCCACCTTGCCTGGCGGCCTGATAAGTGCACAGAGAAGGTACACACACAACACATAGTCCTTGTCACTTTTTAACATCATCATTTACGGAATGAATAGGAAAGGAAATAGGTCAAAAGCCACAAGATGAACCACCTAATCTGATGCTTGGGCAAAGGCTAAATTCTTGACAGGAAGGGTCTAAAGGGTTGAAATGCAGAACTAACATTCAGTCTGGCTGGACAAACTAAAGCGTCCACCCACACAAGAGAGAGAAACGCAAGCGAGTTTGGGAGGGCAGGGGCCCCAGAAGTGACTCAGCAATAACCTGCCCTTGTATTCATTTGCAGGGACCGAAATTTCAAAATCCCAAGTAACAACCATTCCCTGCTACCAGCTTTACAATAAACCACCAGAATCTCAGGGATGGGAGGAACTCACACAAGATCCGGTCGCCTCGCCCGCCTGCCCTCACTAAAGCCAGCTCTCCGAGCTAACCCTCACTCTGAAAAGGAAGTTGGTATCGCCGAGTCCCAGGAATATACATACTTGTTTCTTTACAGGCCGGGCCAAATGGTGACTGACACATCCCTCTTGGAAAGGCCAAGGTGAACCACAATAGAACAGGATCCAGCCACTTGCATCTAGAGGCTCATCTTTCCAGGAAGAAAAGCGATGTCTAACATTCAATAACTAAATCAAACCCCAGAACCCCGGCAGCCCAAAGGGCCCGAGGTGTCATTTCATTTAGCCTCATTTTACAGAGGAGACTGAGGCTCACAGAAGCCCAGGTCTTTTCCATGGCCACACAACTGCGGCTAGAGCTCAGGTCTCTTACTTCTTAGGCCAGAATTCTTTAAGCTACACAGGCCTGGCATCCAGTATTGTAGGTTGAGTAAAATTATTACATACTTCTAGGACCTTGCACGATTCTATTGAGAACCAGGGCTAAGGCTTTATGGATTTGGGAAAACAAGTTTCTATTGTAAGATTCGATCGATGACTCCCACAGGTGCCCCAGAATTTGGTCAGGAAGTGCTGCTTATGTCCCAGTACGGGCCTGACTCAGATAAGGTGCTGTCCAAACCCATGATGGTGACAGGGGCCTGGGCCTCAAACTTGCAGATTCCTGATGAGCAACAGAAGTCTGGAGTTAAGGTTCAAGTGAAAAACACAAACTCCCAAGGTCTCACGTGTGGCCACCTTGCAGGGTTGACCAAAGTGTTTCATAGGAGTGTGCTGACTGGCCAATCAGGTTGTTTTCTCCTGGGATGTGGGATCAAAGTGACTTTGGTCCTGATCTTTCTTGCTTTGAGATGTGTAAGAACCAGATACAGCTTGTGGATTAATGGTCACAAACTGGGATTCCCAACACTTGGGAATCACTGGGAATGTTTTCCAAGTCTTCCAGGGAATCATTCAGGTAACCAAGGGCGTGCCCTTGGCTCACCCGCAGAGCTCTACCGGCTTGCCCTCCGTGCTGCAGCTGAATGACAAGGAGCAGGAACGAGTCCTGGCACCTAAAATTCTCCTTGTGTCTCTCTAAAGGAAAAAGGAAAGGATTTAAAGATGGTGGCAAGGGACTAATAGCAGGAGTACAGCTGTGACTTCACGGCCCGCATGGAGTCATCACACTGCGCGTCTGAGGTCAGCCCCTCGGGCAGCAGGGCCTGGCCCAGGATGCTGTCGCAGGTGGGGACAAGTTGGCAGAACTCCCTCACAAAGTCCTCCTCCGAGGCCAGCAGTACGGCATTCCAGGCGGTGGTGTCCAGCTCGCCAGCCGTGCCCCCGTACTCCTTGGGGAGAATGCTTCTTGGAAGGTTTGTGTGGAGAGAGTTCAGGTCAGACCCGTGGAGAAAAAACTAGAGGGGGAGGAAAGGAAAACACACGTGGCCTTAGGTTTATCAGCAACTCAGTAACCTCCTCCATGGTGTGTGCTCAAGTAAGCATCTGTCGAATGAATAAAGGAACAGTTGATGGCAACCCTACCCTTCCAGTTCCTCGTAAAGCTTAGGATCCCTGCTTCTCTCTTTCTTATGCCCCATGCCCATTGGCTGGTCCTTCAAAATATACCCAGAATCCAACCACTTCACCGCCACCCTAATGATACCATGCCACCATCATGTCTCACCTGGACTCCCACAACAGCCTCCTTCCTGGTCTCCCTGCTCGCACCCTTGTCCCACCACAACCTCAACTCTTCCGGGGATGTCAGATCACGTCACTCCTCCGTGACACTCTCGGTGCTCCCATCTCAGACTAAGTGCTGAAGCCCTCCCACTTCCCTCAGCTCCTCCAGTACGCCAGGGCTCCCACCTCGGGCTGGGCTGCTGCTGTCCCAGGCTCACTCCCTCACCTCCTTCAGGCCTTTGCTCAAATTCCAACTTGCCAGTGATGCCACCTCTAACCGCCCTATTGAATACTGTGACCCGTTCCCGCTTACCACACTCACCATCCCCTTTCCCTGCTTTATTTTTCTCCATTGCACTTACCACATTCTAATGCTCTGTGTCTCCCAAGAAGGTAAGCTTCCTGGGAGCAGAGATTTTGGTCTATTTTGTTCATATAGAACATACTTGCACGTAGTAGCTGATCAATACTTTTGAATGAACGAATGACTGAACATATGACAAACCAAAGGAACAAGACTGTGGGCCATAAATAAGGTCATTTCATAGATGTAAAAAGAAAACCTGGTCCAAAGGCTGTTTGGGGAAAAGCAGTTTCCAAGGAGGATCTCCAGAAACCAACAGGGGCTCAAACCCAGGCATGGAGGCCACTAAGTTAGAGGTTCTCAAATCTAACTGCATCAGAATCACCTACGGGATTTTTCAAAAGCACATTGTTTGGCTCCACCCCTGAGCTGATGAGTTAAAACCTTCAGGGACAAGGCCTGGGGATCTGGATTTTATTAAGTTCCCGCCCTTACAATCTTGAAATTCTCTTTCTTTGCTTCCTCTTTGAAAATAAAATAAAATTCAAGACCCAGTCTTTGGAGTGATCACAATGTTCCTGTTCCTAGGCCTGGGGAAGGCGAAAACTACCACCCACCACATTTCCATCACAGTGCTGGGGACAGCTAGGATGAGTTGCTCTTCCGTCACTTAAAGTACCATCATCCTTTCTTAAATAAGAATTAAGCTAAAAACTCACATATCTCATAAACCTTGAATTATTCCACATACTTAATACAGTAAGACAACAAACTAGGTAAATAGAAAGGCTTAAAGTAGCAGTTTGAAACCCGAGGAGCTGTACTAAGGGATCTCCGTGACTCTTCTTAACCACCTGCCCCGTGACTACCCTCTTCCGTGTCCTCTTACATGAATACAAGGTTGGTTCACGATGCCCCGCCCAGGGTATCAAAGTCTAAACGATTTCAGAGCAGGGAAGCTCTTAGGATAACAATCCTGGCTCTGCTCTCTCTACTGTCAAATATTATATTCTTATTAATTTTGTCTTTCCCTCACAGAAGGGATTGTTCATTGTACTTTCCAAATTAACAGTCCCAGGGCAAAAATAATAAACTAAGATAAGTTTATGTCACAATTAAATTTATAGATGTCACAAATAAGAAAGCAAAAAAAAAAAAAAAATTAAAGTATCTTAAGTCATTAGGATCATCACTTACTCTGTTTGCTATTTTCTCCTTCAGAAATGGTTTTATGATGGCAAAAATGCCTTTAAATATTCGAGGTTCATTCACGACATGGACTGCTTTTATCCGAATGGGGAAACCATCCTGTGGGGGAAGGGAAGAGGATGTTAGAACATATGGGGTATTTGCAAACTGTCTGTCACCATAGCATGCCTCCCCCAGTGAAATCTTCTTCATTTTAGGCCCCAACACCAGTCTGGCCTGATTCTCCCAGTTTCCACAAAGAAACCCAAGCAGGGGCTAAACAGGAAGGCAAAAAGTGGTCTAAGCCTAGGTGGATGGCCCTAGTTAAGTATCAGACCTTGTAAATCAGCGCTGCTCAAAGTGTACGTCTCAGGATGTGATACGGTGTGATGCAAAAAAGGGTTCCGCGGCAGGCGGGTACGATTGAGAAGTGGACTAAACATGGTCAAGTAGGTTCCTTAGCTGCAGGACGGTTCGGAGCTTTGAGTGCAAATGTATACAGTGACATTCACGAGGGACTTGTTTTACCACATTTCCCAAACTTTTAATCCCAAAATTCTGTCTCCTGGACCATCTTATAGGAAACAATGGCCCAAACTCATAATACTGACCTTTGAATCTGCACAGGATTTAGCAGGAGGTATCAAAAGAAGAGTGGAAGCTAAGGAAAGCCAGAGCATTGCCTCAAAGCCAGAATTCAGAATTCTGATAATGACCAAATGTGACACTGATGTTTAACTAACTAGCCCAGGGCACAGTAGGGGTACAAGCAACTTAAGGAGAACTGTTCCATCTCTGACACCCACGCTCACAAGAGCCAGCACCCTGTGGCCTGGGTCAGAATGAACTAGGAGGCCTGTTAGAGACCTGGGCCAGACTACATCCTCTAGGTCTGTTTCCCCATCTACCAAAAAGGAAAAATAATTCTTGATTTGTCTGTCTTGGAGGGTTCACTGAAGGACTGGGTGGGTTCTGATGACTGTACAAGCGCTTTGCAAACCGTTACACACTGTGAAGACGTGTAAGGAACTTGATGGTTCTCAATGACTTGTGTTCTGACATATAGAACTTGAGGGGTGACAGCATTTGGCCAAGACAGTCCAACAGTGCTCGCATCCCCAGGTCCCACAGGTGGCAGGAGAGGTTCTATTACCTTGGGCAGAAGTACAATTTCTCAGTTTTATTTGTTAGGAGAATTTCTCCTCTGCCTTCTTGACCAAAACAAAGCAGAAAGCATTTCCTTGGTTTCTTAGACTCTTGCCCAAAAGCTGATCTTGCCTAGAATGAAGGTACCTCAGAACCTACTGGAGCCCCTTGTGGGAATGAGGGGTAAACAGAACTTTTACATTTCCCATAATGCTTTTGTATTTTTCTGATTGTAGGAGTGGGAAGTGGGTATCACATGGGTAAATGGACAGGGCCCTGGAGAAAACCAAAACCACCACAGAACAGGCACAGGACAAATGGGGGCCATACCTGAAGGATACCAATCACCTTTTTGGCTATAAAAGGGCCAAAGTGAGATGCTTTTGATAAGCTCACTCCTTTGTAGTCTGCAAGAATTACAATTCCATTCACTTGAGTTTCTTCAGCCTGGATGAGTTTTTCTAATGTTAAGTATATGGCTCGGATGTTTTCGGTAATTGGATAGTTGCTGGGTATCCACCTGTCTAAGGTCATAAGAGATGGTCATATGTTACAGAAACAAATACAAACAATCAGACAGGCTAAGGTTTATCTCTGTGCTAAAACTCGTTTAAAAATGGAAAAGCAAGATGATATTCTACTGGCGTGGCTCTATTTAGGTTAGGAAATCGGACACCTTCTGCAGTAGCTGACATTTCTTAACTCCAAACAGCAACATATTCTGAAATGGAAACACAATTAAGTGTTGACGTTAAAAGTGTGATCTCTGAAATCAGACCTTGGGCAAGTTACTTCCTTACTCTGAGCCCACATCTCTTCATAAGTAGGATGGGGTAATAGTACTTATCTTAATGGACATCTGTGCCTTCTGCCATCAGATGTGTCCCCTTATCTTTATAACCTCACCCTGACTTTCCTTGGGGAACCACCACTTCCCATGCTAGCCATGCATTTTGGGTACAACTGAATTGACTCTTGGCTCCAGGTGTGGGCTTGGCCAATCTGGGTCTTATTTTCCGCTGGCCACAGTGTGTGATCCAAACCTGGTCAAGCAAGCCAAGGGGACTTTGGAAAGAGAAGATCTCTCCTTCTCCTTGGAATGGTGAGGATGGAAGGCTGAGATTCAGGGGCCCCATGAGATAAGATCTGGTCTGAGAATGAAGCCCAAGCCTAGGACAATGGACATGGAGACCGCTTCCTAATGCCACAGTTTGAGCGAATTTCCCTTTCCAGGCTGGATGTCCTTTAATACTCCCCACATGGTTGAGGGGTCTTTCCTTTTTAGGGAAAAAGATGAAAATGACAACTTCTGACCATTAACCACTATTCCCAAGAAAATCCCACCAAGGCCCTAGTTGGCTAGCTCAGTTGGTTAGAGCGTCATTCCAATACACCAAGGTTGTGGGTTCAACCCCTGGTCAGGGTACATAAAAGAAATAACCAGTGAATGCATAAATAGGTGGAACAACAAATCGATGTTTCTCTCTCTCGTTCCCTCCCTCCTCCTCTCTCTAAAATCAATAAATTTTGAAAAATGAATAAAAAGAAAATTCCACCAAGATCTGTGCAACCCTTTCTTAGAAAGATAACTCCATGTGATCACCACCAACAGGATGAATAATTCCTAGGAGGAAATCTATGTCCAAAAACTGTGCCAGCTTGCTAGTCAATGTTGCTGCCAATTAAACCTGCTTCTACATAACTGGCTGTCATCCTTTTCCACCACAGATGTCCCAAAAGAGCTTCTAAAAAGGCAAAGCCAGTCCCCGGGTGGGAACAGAGCCTTCTGTGTAAGCTTCCTCCTAAAAGGTGGAGTGGGTGGGGAGGGGTCTAGATCTGCTCCAGACACATGGGAAAAAACTTCATGTCATAAGCAAAGGGTTGAAGCCACACGAAGAGGTGAATTCAGTGTGACAATATCCAACTGTTCTTATGGGTTGAGTAGAGGAGCAGCAGAAAAACCCTTGACTGGGTTTCTAGGTCTCCTGGTGTCCTGAAATCTCGACTGTGTTGTTTATTTAAACTTAAAAATAAACACCTCTCATTTGGAAAGTACTTAAAATAGCAGGTAAAGCAGTTAGTTAACAGTATGCCTGGAACACAGAAAAGGCTCAAGAGAATGGTTTGGTCTCCAAAGAGGGTTTGGTAAATGACTAACGGAAATGGCAACATCGGGGGTGCATGAGGTCTCCACTCCCCATCGCACGTCCATCCCTTCAGGAGGTGTTTGTCCGCATGAGCAAAGATGGCTGCCAGCAGGTTCTCATTCCTCTGGCTTGTTGAGAAAAACACTGCAATTTTACTTTCAAATTTTGTCTCAGCTCTGGTCTGATGGAAAATGTCGCAGCTGCAGGGGGAGGGTGGGAAACACTCCTGGGTTTATGATGCATTTGGTGTCACAGAAGACAACAGGGGGAAGAATCCAAAGGCTTGAGCTCTAGCATCCCCTAGTCACAGTGTCAACTAAAAACTTCCCACACATTTCTAAATGCTTTTGGGGAGGCGAGGGGGCCACCAATTAAACCACTGCCGTGTCAAAGAAATGTAAGGTGCCCTGATTCATGAAGTGCTAAGGTTAAAAAGTGAATCCTTTCAAAGGCTTAACAAAGTGGAGGAAAGGAGGGATGGGTGGGAGGAGGCATGTGGTGGACTGACACCTTCTCAGCCCACGCTGATGTCTGTACATCACCTACTCACAAAGGAGGGATGGGGCAGCGGGTCCTGGCGGCCCTGTTCACACCCCATGACCAGGGCAGCTTTCTCAGCCTGCCAGATCCTCAACCCTAGAAATCTGCACTGAAGGAACTTAGTCTGATGGCCAGGCAAACCTGGGAGCTGCGGGCTGCCGGATCTAGCCACGTGTACAGACAGCAAAAGCCAGGCCACAGAGAGAAGAGAGAAGAAGACATCCAAGGGACAGCAGAAATGTGTGGCCAGAGAGACACACAGACAGATGGTCTGGCAAAGACAGGGAGAATGGCTGGCTTCGTTCCTGAAGGGGGAATGAACTGGATTCTGGTTCTGAGTTCTAGGGCCTAGTAAGAACAGTTGCACCTTCAGCAACCTGGTTCTGTGAGATGCTCCTGTCTTCTCAGACTAAATCCTCTCTTTTTTCTTAACATGAGTAGGGTTTTGTCATCTTCTCTCAAAAGAGCCTTGACTGCCCGGCCGGTGAGGCTCAACGGATTGAGCATCATCCTGTGGACTGAGAGGTCCCAGTTCAATTCCCGGTCAGGGCACACACCTGGGTTTCAGGCTCCATCCCCAGTAGGGGATGTGCAGGAGGCTACTGATGGATGTGTCTCTCACATCGATGTTTCTATCTCTCGCTCTAAAAGAAAAAAATCAATAAAAACATATAATATATATAATATATTATATGTTTTTATTGATTTTAATTTTAGTCAAGGCTCTTTTTATTTATTTATTTATATAAAACAGGGAGGGGGCAAAAGGGAAAAGGAAAGGGAGAGAGGGTGCTGGACAGACAGACAGACACATCCCAAACAGAGGCTGTGCACACGCGCCCGAGACAGCCTAGGGCAATACCTGGGCGGATGCAGAGGATGTGGCAGCCCCGGGGGTCGGTGTGGGGCAGCACGGTGAGGAATCCAGAGGCAAGGACATCTTTTAAGGCCGACGGCTTCAGGTTATTGAAGACTTCGGGCCAGCTTCTCCTGCAGCTATGGTAGTTGATGAGGAGCTGCAGGGCCCGGTCGTAATCAAACTTTCGGGCTCGGAGGAAGCGCAGCAGGAAGGCATCATCCAGGGAGGTTCTCAGGTGTGGGCACTCCTTCCGCACCATGTCCCGAAGGGCCTGGACATCTCGAAGCCTCCATTCCGGCTTCTCCTGCAGCTCTTCCCTGGCCTTGGCGACCAGTTCTCCCGTCAGTGAGCACACATAGCCGGGAGGCTCGGGCGCTGGCGGCAGCTCATTGTCAGCAAGTGAGGCCGCAGAAGGGCTGGTTTTCAGAGAGTCACTTTCTTCTGACATTAGCCACCAGGATCCCTGTCAAAACAGAAGCCCCAAGCAATGTTAATAAAATGCAGCATTATTAACTGGTCATTTCACACCACAGGGCAGCTGGTGTAGGGGACAGAAACACTTTTGTTAAGCCAGGTAACCTCAGAGCAGGGAGTCTCAACCGGTGGGGAGGAGAGACCTGGATCTGGTCCAGACCCAGACTGAGTGAAGTTAGAATCTCCATGGAGGCAACCAGGCATCTACGGCAGGAAACACTCCTCATCACACACCACGGCCTTGCTCGCACGTATATGAACGGGTGCTTGACCTCAGTCGTAATTCAAGAAATGTGAATGAAAACAACTCTGAAATTCAGATTGGCAAAAGGCAAAATGGGTACCCTGATATGCTGGCTGTTGGGAGAATAAATTAGATGGCCTCTTTAGATGGCAGTTGTCAATATCTATCAAAATTTAAAACCGCACGCCCTTTGCCTCAGCATTCCATTTCCAGTATATTTACTTGTATTGTGGATAAAACATGCACAGAAGGATGTCCATCACTAGTATTGATTAGAATGGCAAAAGACTGGAAACAGTACTTTCAGTACATACCAGTTGGAAACTGGTTAAATAATATCACCATATGAATGAAATACTATTGTCATGAAAATCAGGCAGAACTTTATAAACTGACTTGTTAAGGGGGGGAAGCAGAACAGTGTACATAAAATAATTGTATTTATAAAATATATACATGCATACACTTGTGAATGCACATATAATTTCTGAAAGGGGATATAAGAAACTGTTGCCAATGGTTTCCAGGGAACAAAACTGGAGAACTAGACATTCAGGATAGGAGAGAATTTTTACTGTATCATGTGATATATATATATATATATTTTTAACCATATACAATGTGACTTTTCATGGTGGCCATAAAACTGAACTCATAAGGTCTCCTGCTGGGGTGAAGCATAACTGATGAATGGACCCAGCCGCTGTCCCTCTGGATCCACCAGCCAGTGGATGTCACACTTTCCACAGACTGCCTCCAGCCAATGACTGAGACACAGGATTCCTCCAACAGGCAATGCTCGCTCGAAGACTCCTTATCAGCCTGGCCAGCCAAACCTTTCATGAACCTGCACTGTATCTGAGACTTCCCGCCCAAACCTCCTTCATAGATGCCGGCTCCCCTCCCTTTATGCTTCATGGGCGTTGCTGCCAATAGATTTCTTGCATGTCTAATCTCATCCTAGTGTCTGCTTAGAAGACCTGAACCAACACACTCATCAAATGAAAAACAAAAATAAAACCGCTGCCTTAGATATTCCAGGAATAGAATAGCGGCAGGGCTGCCCAGTTCCAAAGCCCAAGCTCTTGCCCATGGGCTGTCACTGAACCCCCACTTGGAGCTCAACAAGGAAGGCAGGGACCATCTCAGGGGTCTCTGCACATTGCCAGTCACCTGCAAGTGCACGGCAGCCATTGTGACCAGGTCACTTCCGCCAAGTCTTAGGTCTGCCAGCTCCCTTCCTTGCATTCTAACCGCCAGCCCTACCCAGCTTCCTTCACTTCCTCCCAGAGGTGCATTTTCTTCTCTTGTGCATATCTGTTTCCTCCAACTAACATGCTCTTCCTCCAGTGTATCACCTGACTGATTCACCCTCAAGTTCCAATCAGATGTCACTTCATTCAACATTGAGTACTTACTATGTACCAGGCCCACTTCCGGGCACTGGGAATAAAGCAGTGAATAAAAAATCCTGTCTTCATTGAGCTTAGATACTAGCAAGGTGCACTATAAGCAAAATATATAGTCTACTAGAACATAAGTACTGGAGATAAAGCCGGGAAGGGGGTTGAATGTATCTAGGGATAGGAGTGGCAACTGTAAATAGGGTGGTTAGGGAAGTCCTCACCCAAGTGACAATGGAGCAAAGACAAAGGAGACAAGGGAGCTCAAGCCCTGTAGGTATCTGGGGGAACAAGTGTAAAGCCTGAGGCAGGAACATGCCTGGCTTTTTCGAGGAACAGAGAGGAGACCAGTGTGGCTAGAGCTAACTGAGCAGGGTGGAGAGTATTAGCAGATGAATTTAGAGAGGTACCCACTAGTACAGAGCTTTGTAAGCCAATAAGTTTGACCTTGAGTTTGGAGGGAGCCACAAAGGGTTTTGAGCACAGTGACATGAACAGATATATTTTAAATGGATTACTCTGCTATCTTGAGAATGGACTGTAAGGGGATGAGGACAGAAGAGACTGCCCTTGCCCTGGCCGGTTTGGCTCAGCGGTTAGAGTGTCGGCCTGCGGTCCGGAGAAGAGACTGCTCTGGCTGGTTTGCTTAGTGGTTAGAGCGTCGGCCTGCGGACCAGAGTCCTGGGTTCGGTTCCCGTTAAGGGCATGTACCTCGGTTGCAGTTTGTCCCCAGCCCCGGTTGGGGTTGTGTGGGTGGCAGCCACTCCATGTGTCTCTCTCACGTCGATGTTTCTCTCTCTCTTCCTCCCTCTCTCCCGCTCTATCTGAAGATAAATGCAAAAATGTCCTCCGGTGAGGATAAAAAAAAAAAGTGAAGAGACCATTTAGAGCAGTGGTTCTCAATTTTCCTAATGCCATGATCCTTTAATACAGTTCCTCATGTTGTGGTGACCCCCAACCATAAAATTTTCATTGCTACTTCATAACTGTAATTTTGCTACTGTTATGAATCACCATCAGAAATATGTGTTTTCTGGTGGTCTTAGGCGACCCCTGTAAAAGGGTTGTTCGACTCCCAAAGGGGTCGCGATCCACAGGTTGAGAACCGCTGGTTTAAAGGCTACTGCAATAATCCAGGTGAGAGATGATGGTGCTTGAAGCAGGAAGTCTTCTCTGACTCCAGGCCAGGTTAAGAGTCTTCCCCACAGGAGCTCTTTGACATAGCACTTCTCCCAGTCCTTGTAATTGTCTGTAGGCAATTTGTGGGAAACATTCCTGTCTGTCTTGCTCATCACCTTACACCCAGCACCTAACAGGGTGCCAGGCATACAGCCTGAGCTCCATAATTATTTGTTGAATGGGTTTAATCTGTTTGGCAAAGGTATGCTGAGCAAGGAATGGAACAATCATAGATTCATAGGACTCACCCTGGGCTTTGTTTCCATGGGAGTCATCAACAGATGCTTATAGTCCCAATTCAATGCTTACCCAGGAAAAAGGCTGTCATGTCCATGTCCATGTGCTAGCCTCAAAGTCCCTCCCCAGCCTCTCTCCTCTCAGTGCACATGAAATGTCAGTCAAAACAAACGAATGACCCACCATTCTTGGAATGCCTCATGCATTTCTGATACCTCTGCCTGGAATTTCCTCTCCTTGTTTGTTCCCAACCAGACAACTCATCACCTTCCAGACCCAGCTTCAATGTCACCTCCTCTGTGATTCCCCCAGGGTGATTCCCTTGTATTCCACAGCACCTATTTCTTTCAGAAATGACAGTCCAGTGTTACGGGTATTTACATGAACACTCCTCAGAATCAGTTTCGCCATCCATTCATCATCGAATAATTACTGATCACTTACCCTATGTGTCAGGTACTGGGCTCATAGACACTGGGCACGCAACAGCGAACAATACAGGTCTTTGCCTTAGGAAGTTAAACGCACAGTGGGATAATGAAGAGGTAATATGTATTTGAGTATTTTACCATGTATCAAGCATGGTGGTAAGTACTTTACATCTGTCTCCCATTTCATCTTTACGGTATTTGCTGACAGCTCTATTCCTGTTCCCATTCACAAAGGAGGAAACTGATTGCAAGAATGTAAATGCCATGCAGGCAGACAATCTGCCTGGCATGTTCACTGCCACCCCAGTGCCTGGCACATGACGGGGCTCAGCAGCTATTAGCGGATGATGTCAGGTCAAGTGCGGTGCCCAGAGGTACACACCTAGTGAGGCAGACAAGGCTGCCTTGCCCCACACTGGGCTCTACCTTCCACCTGGGGCTTCCTGTTTCATCTCCTGGGTCTCAGCAGCGTCAAGCACAGACAGGGCTCAATGTGGTGAAGGACCTGATGGGTGGGTACAGGGCAGCGTGCAGACACCGTTCGCTAGGGTGGAGCCGCGAATCTTCCTCACCTGAAGTCCACCATTCTGCGAGCATCACCTTCCTCCCCACGCCACCCAAACAAGGTCAGGACGCCATCGCTCCTGGAGCCCTAGAGACCCTACGTCCCGTCAGCAGCCTTATGAGGCCCCCCACTTCCGGTTGTCACCCCTTCCCCAGGTGTCCCCATTTCCTGGGGTCTCTCTCCCGGGTCCCCCACTTCCGGTTACCCCTCCCTGTCAGAGGTCCCTCTCCCCGGCGCCCAGGGCACACGGACGGCCTCGCGGGCACTCACCGGCCCGGCTACGGGGCGGAGCGCGGGTCAGTCGGCGGCAGGAGCCTCGTCCAGCAGCGCGCGCAGAACGACCCGCACTCCCGGCCCGGCCGGCCCGGCCCCTCGCGCCGGAAGTGACGTACGCAAAGCGTGCGAAGACGGGCGCCGCCCTGAGTGCGCATGTGTAACACCTCGCGGTGGTGTCGGCCTTTTGTCTCCACCTAGCGGTGGGAACCGCGCGCAGCGGGACGCGATCGTGGGCAGAGGTTTGCTGGGAGGGACGGAGAATTGCCCGCAAGTTTAAGTGGTATAGTTGGGGAATCTGAGGCCCAGAGATTGAACGAAAGAACCTGCCATTTTCCGAGGACAAAACTACCATGCGCCTGATGTTTTCCATTCATTGTCTCATTAAATCTTCATATTTATGGGAATTTTTCATGAAAGGGAAACTGGTAATCAATGGAGTAAAGGGCTTTAAACCTAGATTTCGGGAATCGCATTCCAGGATTCTTCTCTGCTTTGGGGTTCATGAAAGTGGTAGCTTGAGAAAGGCTCTAAGACTAGTCCTCAACCTCTAAGACTAGTCCGTAAAAATGCCCAGACCCGCCAACATATGTTTTGTGCAACGAGGACTTTGAGCGAGAGCTAGGTCCCTCTTTCAGGCACAGTAAGGACGCTGAACTATTTCTAGAGAGAGCAATACTGTCGTCCAGGAGGACTCAGAACCCAAAGCAGTATCCAAGAGATGCCCTTAATCTCTTCCTTTCCCTACCACCGGGGCAAGAGGTCCCAGGAAGATGGGAACTGACCCAAGAGAGCCACAAGGACATGACAGTTTCTGTAAGATGCTAGATTGTGTGAAAATCAGTAATCACAGAATCTTTCAATTTTATCTTCTGTGGCTGCAGATGTTATATAAAAGAGATTAATTAAAAGCCCCACAATGCTCTATCTGCATTGGAAATATCAGTATGAATTCAAGATATGATTTATTTATTTTTATTTTTATTTTTTTTTATCCTCACCTGAGGATATTTTTCCATTTTTTGTACAGATAGAGTGGGAGGGAGAGAGAGAGAGAAACATCGATGTGAAAGGGACACATCGAGTGGCTGCCACCCGCACGACCAACCAGGGCCAGGGACAAACTGCAACCGTACGTGCCCTTAGCGGGAACCGAACCCAGGTCTCTCTGGACCGCAGGCCGACGCTCTAACCGCTGAGCCAAACTGGCCAGGGCAAGATATGATTTATTTTTAAGAGCAATGTGTATGTATGTATACACACACATAAACATTGATATATACTGTATATATAAAATACCTAGATCTATCCACTAGAAAGGGCTAGAAACCATGAGTAATCTAGTAGCAATGAGCATATCTAACACTCAGATTTCAGCCTTGAAGTACCATGTTTTATTTTAAAAAATAAAGGGGCCTCTTGGAGAAATTGGTGATTGCAGATCAGTAGCAGGAAATATACAAGATGAGCCTGGAATGTCTTGTCATACTTGATAACAAAGAAGCTATCAGAGGCACCAGGGTCACACCAAAAGGACTTGGAAACCAACCTGAAGATGAGATCATTTCAGCTACAACAAAGATGACTGCAATTGATTGAAACTCATGAAATATATTTCAGTCCCTGAGTTCATAAAACTGGCAAAAAATAAGTTCATATTCAGTAAAAACACTAATTGATCACCTTCTCAAGATAGCATAGAAACAAATTATATTCTTGAAAACTAAGTAAATAAAAGGAAAGAATCAAGTAATTATTCCACTTTTTATGTGTGAATGTACCACTGGGTAACCAAATAATAGGTTAAGAAAAGCAACTTCTTATAAAATTATTACAGTTAATTACCCTGACCAGGTTGCTCAGTTGGTTGGAGTGTCATCCCATACACCAAAATGTTTGATTTCCAGTCAGGGCACTTACCTAGGTTTCAGGTTTGATCCCTGGCCGGGGTAAATACGGGAGGCAACTAATTGATATTTCTCTTTCATATCAATGTTCTCCCCCCCCCCCCTTTAAAAAAAATCAGTAACAACATATCCTCCGGTGAGGATTTAAAAAATTATTACAGCTGATAAATGGAAACAAAATGATACAATATTGCCATTTTGAAACCTGCAATAAATTTATGTCTCTAGCTAAAAAAAAAAAAAAAAAAAAAAAAAGAGCAAAACTCCAGCCATAGACATGATTATTTTGCTGTCGTTGTTGTTAATAACCCAATAATATTTTTTCCATTGATTTTTAGAGAGATTAGGAGGGAGAGAGGGAGGGAGAGACACTGATGTGAGAGAGACAGACCGATTAGTTGCCTCCTGCACGCACCCGGACTGGGGCTGGGGATTGAACCAGCAACCCAGTTACATGCCCTTGACCAGGAATCGAACCCACGATCCTCTGATGCGAGAGTGACATTCTATCCACTGAGCCACACTGGCTAGCTGATTCTTGATGAAAGAACCCAGAACCACCTGCTATCATGCCAAAGGGATGGAACCTGGGTCTCATCCAGCTACTAATTTGCAGGAAATGCTGAAGTCGAAGGGCCAAGTTAAACTGTACAGTGAGGGTGCAATTGGCAAAACCTAGACTTTGAGAAACTCTACAGGTCAAGCAGCCTGAGTTCTTCAACAGATAAACTGAAAGGAAAAGAAAGCGATAGAGGAAGGAACCTATGCATTGAAAGAGTCTTAAAAAACGTATTACGTTTTTTTGTTTTGTTTTGTTTTTTTATCATCCTCACTGGAGGACATTTTTCCATTTTTTTGTTCAGGTAGAGTGGGAGGGAAAGAGAGAAGAGAGAGAGAGAGAAACATCGATGTGAAAGGGGCACATCGAGTGTCTGCTACCTGCACGACCCAACCAGGGCTGGGGACAAACTGCAACGGAGGTACGTGCCCTTAATGGGAACCGAACCCGGGTCTCTCTGGACCGCAGCCAACGCTCTAACGGCTGAGCCAAACCAGCCAGGGCCATATTAGGTTTTTTTTTAATGGGCAAAACTAAGTTATAATGTCTAGGGGCGCACACTCAGATAATTAAACTGTAAAGAAATGCAAGGAAATAATTACTATAAAAGTCAGGGTAGCGGTTTTTTGGGGGGAAGGGCTGTGTTGGGATAAGATACATGGAGGGACTTGTGGCTGGCTGGCAAAATTCTATTTCTTAACCTGAGTGTTGGTTACAAGGATGTTTGTCTTGAAATGATTCACTGAGCTATAAATTTAATTTGTATAATTTTCTGCATCTGGCCCTGGCCAGTTTGGCTCAGCGGTTAGAGTGTGGCCCGCGGACCAGAGAGACCCAGGTTCAGTTCCCACTAAGGGCACATACCTCAGTTGCCATTTGTTCCTGGCCCCAGTTGGGGTTGTGTGGGTGGCAGCCAGTCAATGGGTCTCTTTCACATCGACGTTTCTCTCTCTCTCTTCCTCCCTCTCTCCCTCCCACTCTATCTGAAAATAAATGCAAAAATGTCCTCGGGTGAGGATAAAAAATAATAATAATTTTTTGTATCTGTTTACAATATAAAGGTTAAAAGAAAGGAAAACAGAAGTACGTGTGTGTGTATGTATACGTATATGGATATATAGCTTCTGTGAGTACCAGGTACATAGCAGGTGCTCACTAAATATGAGTTTCCTTCCTTGCTAATCCTGTGAAAATTTTTTACCTGTGTGATTTCAGTCCCATTACTAACACTACTAACTTGTGTGACTAATTAAAAATAGTTGATGTTTACTAAGTGATTAATATGTGCCAGGCACTGTTCCCAGTGTATCTAATCTAACGGAATCTTCACAACCTTATTATTTTTATTCCCATTTTACAGAGAAAAAAACCAAGGCTCAAAGAGGTTATCTGTGGCCACACAGAAAGTGGTAGAGCAGTCAGATTTTAAACCCAGGCAGTCTGGCTCCCTGATCCATACTCTCATTATATGAGAATATATATATATATATATATATATATATATATATATATATATATATATACTGTTTTTTTTAATTTGGTGTTTAGTGCCCTTGTTTGCACAAATGATAACTTCTTATGGAGTGCCTGCCAATGTGTGTGCCACCCTTTGACACTCCATACCTGAGTTTCACACAACCCTGGAAGGTGGAGGTACTTGTTAGTCTGCATTTGACAGATGGGAAAACTGGAACTCAGAGAGGTGAAGAACTTGCCCAAAGTTACAAAGTAAGTAAATGGCAGTGTTGGGGGTTGGAGTTGTGGATGGGGAGG